TTCCCTTTGCAGAGTCACACAAGGAAGAAAAACCCATTTTATTCATGTGTTTATCCCTGTAAATTCAGCGCATTATTTTCATTACTTTTTCTGCATTGGTTAGGTGGCTGAAGGCTCTCTGTGCTTCCCTCCCTCCCAACTTTCTTTTTGGATTTGTGTTCCTAAACCCCTCACCAAGTAAGGAGGTTTTCTGCTGAAAATCCCATTTTATTCCAGTGTTTATCCCTGTAAATTCAGCACATAACTTTATTTTCAGAGGAAAGGAGAATTTTCTCCTGCATTGGGAGGGTGGCTAAAGGTTCTCTGTGCTTCCCTCCCTCTTTTTGGGATTCTTTTTGGATTTGTGTTCCTGAGCAGAATTCCTGGCTCCCCTCACCAAGTAAGGAGGATTTCTGCTGCTCCAAATTCTGTCTTTAAACTTAAAAAATTCCAAGGACCTTTTCAGCTGGGCTGTTCTGCACTTTTCCAGTAGCACAATGTCCCAGCTCGAGGTGACACAGCACTGTGCTGCAGGGCAGAGCCTCAATAAATTGAATGATCCTTGAATAACCATAAAAATAAAGTTTTATGTTTAAAATCAGCGCAAATTTGGGGCTGATCCTCTGCTAAAAGAACACAATAATTCTTGTATCATTCATATGCTTAAACTTAGCTTAATTTGAGCTTTGGTGCAGGACCAAGGTGCCAAAACCTCTACAACATCCCTGGAAGGTGATGAATTAATTATTCCTGGCATGTCAATAAGATTTGGAATTATCCCTGGCATGCCAAATATCCCTGCAGGAATAAAGGTGGGGTGGAAAAACCAAGGAAGAGTCAATCCTGTGGGCACGAGTGTGGTGCTGGAGATCAGATGTGGCAGAGGATAACTGGGCTATAAATTCATGAATTAAATACATAAATACATCAATATAAATACTGGTAATTGCGGGCAGAACCTCATTTTTCCAAGTGGAATGAAAAATCAACCCTGCATTTTCCATCTCCGTGGTGCTGGAGGAAAGGAGAATTTTATTATTAACTTCATTTTTCCAAGTGGAATGAGATATCAACCCTGCGCTTCCCATGTCTGTGGTGCTGAAAGAAAGGAGAATTTCCTTGTAAACCTCATTTTTCCAAATGGAATGAGAAATCAACCTTGTGTTTCCTATCTCTGTGGTGCTGGAGGAAAGGGAAATTTCCTTTTTAACCTAATTTTTCCAAGTGGAATGAAAACTCAACCCTGCATTTCCCATCTCTGTGGTGCTGGAGGAAAGGAGAACTTTATTATTAACTTCATTTTTCCAAGTGGAATGGAAAAGCATTAATGAAGCTTTTCCCACCAATAAAGGACAATTAAGAAGACCCTTGATGATGATCCCATGATAAAATGGGATTAATCTGATGCTGAAGGACTTTGGGATGCTCTGGTTTTGTCATGGTGCACATTAACCTGGAATAAATCTGTCTCAGCCCTGCGTTTATGCATTTCCTATCTCTGTGGTGCTGGAGAAAAGGAGAATTTCCTTTTTAACCTCATTTTACCAAGTGGAATGAAAACTCAACCCTGCATTTCCCATGTCTTTGGTGGAAAGGAGAATTTTATTATTAACTTCATTTTTGCAAGTGGAGTGAAAAATCAGCCTTGCATTTCTCATCTCTGTGGTGCTGGAGGAAAGGAGAATTTTATTATTAAAATAAAATATTCATTTTTCCAAGTGCAATGAAAAATCACCCAGCTGATTGTGGAGGAATGCAGTCTGTGCCAGGCGTGCACAATGAAATCAGAGTGCGGCATTATCAAACTCATTGTTTAATTACCAATTAACTCAGTGCTGATGAATCAGAGCCATTAGAGGTTTATCGGGTTCAGGTGCCATCAGGTGCATCCCAGTTTGTGTGCAATCAGGAATTCTTCTTGACAGAAAGAAAATGATACATGAGAAAAAAGAAAATTATATATGAGGAAAAGAAAATTATATATGAAGGGGATGCTGAGCCTCAAAAATCCTTGATTTTCAGGCTGAAATCCTGTCTGGAAAAAAAAAAATTTAGGATGCTGAGGTGAGGTGAGAGGTTTGGGAAAGGCACAAATCCCAAATTGTGCAGGGAGAGCCAGAGCATCCACACACAATTCCAGGAAGCCACAGCAAGGAGGGGCTGCTGCCAGCATCGATTGTTTCATTTGCTAATTAGTGCTGAAATCTCCTCAAAGTCAAATAAAGCAGAGGATGTGAGCTGCTGGAGCTGCTCCCTCCTCCCCTGCCCCACATTTCCTCACCCCCTTTTTTTTTTTTTTGTGGTGTTTTTGTTTGGTTGGTTTTTGTTGTTTTTTGGGGGGGCGGGTTTGGTGCAGATATTAATGGATGTGGGGGCTTTGCTGGTGTTTGGGTGAAGAGTGAGGTATTTTTCATTATTTGTCTCTGATGTGACCTTGGCTGTGTTATTTTACCTTCATTCCACCTGGTAGATGCGTTTGATGGATGAATTAAAGGATATTTTGTGCATGGAGTGCAGCAAAGAGGGAGATGGCAGAAGTCTGTGAAGAATATTGAATATTTTATGTGAATATTGAAGAAAAATCTCTGAATTTTTGGTGTGATGTGCTCTCTTTTTCCAAGGGTCAAACCTGGAGGTGAGAGCAGGGCAGGCAGAGCTTTGTTCAGACTTTGTGGCCAGGTGTTTTATTTTCTTCTCCCTCTGTTCTTTTACCTTCCTTCCACCTGGTAGATGCATTTGAGGGATGAATTAATTAAGATGCTTTGTGCATGGAGATTTTTCTGTGGTAAAGAGGGAGACATTACAAGTCTATGAAGAATATTGAATATTGCCTGTGAATATTGGAGAAAAATATCTGAATTTTTGGTGTGCTGTGCGTTCCTTTTCCAAGGGGCAAAACTGGATGTGGGAGCAGGGCAGGCAGAGCTGCTGTGACCTGGAAATGTCATTTTTGCTCCGACTTTGTGGCCAGGTGTTTGTTTGCTGTGCCCAGCCCCAGTTAAACAGGAGGTTGTGTGTACTGGAGTCGGGCTGCCAACAGGCAGGACGTGACCAGGGAAATATAAACCCCTTTTTCTGACAGAGGATAAACATCTCCTTTTCTGGGCCTTGCTATCAGATGCTCTTTGGTCTTATTTTCAAACACGGAGTCCATTAACAATCAGGTTGAGAGCTCTGGGGATTTATCTCCAGGGTGGACCACATCCAATGACAATATTTTTCACCTCAGGATGAGGTCTCTGTGAAAAATCACTTTTTTTTCCTTGCCATGCTGTTTTGGGCTGGAATATTCCTGACCTCAGGAAGAGATTTCTGTGAGAAATCATCTTTTATTTCTTCTTACACTGGTTTGGATTGGAATATTCTTCACCTCAGGAAAAGGTCTCTGGGAGAAATCACCTTTTTTTCTTCTTTTACTGGCTTGAGTTGTAACATATTTCACCCCAGGAAGAGATTTTTGGGAGAAACCACCTTTTTTTCCTTGCCATGCTGTTTTGGACTGGAATATTTTTCACCTCAGGAAGACGTCTCTGGGAGAAATCACCTTTTTTTCCTTGTTATGTTGTTTTGGCTTGGAATATTCTTTACCTCAGGATGAGGTCTCTGAGAAAAATCACTTTTTTTTCCTTGCCATACTGTTTTGGGAAGAGATGAGAATTTTGACTCCATGTTCCAGAAGTCTGATTTATTACTTTATTATCTATATTTATGATATGTATTATATTTATTATATATATTATAGTAAAAGAAATTATATATGTACATTTATATTTCTATTAAAAGAAATTATATATGTACATTTTGTGTATGGTTTTTATGGGTGCAGAAATTCTGCGTGTAATTTTTGCTGGGTGCAGAAATTCTGTGTATGACTTTTCCTGGGTGCAGAAATTCTCACCTGGGATTTCTGGAATGCCTTGAGTGTCATTTCCTGCAGATCCTGCCCTTTCAGACATGCAGATAAAATTCCTGGAGCACCTTTCTCTGCTGATCCAGCACTGGAGCTGTGCTGAGTGAGTGTTCCCTGTGGGACACACAAAATTCCAGTCTGTCCATGGAGATCCAGGTGTTGAAATCCTGGGTTTGCAGCTCCAGAATTACAGGTCTGAGAGCTTCTTTGCATTCTCAGAGGTTTTTAAAGCTCTGAATTTCTGCTTTTAAGTGGAGTTTGCTCCTTGGAGTCTGAGGATAAATGACTAAAAGCAAGAATGGGATCATATGATCTGATTCCTGCTGCCAAAAGATGAAGGGAGGAGGGATGGTTTAGAAATTAAGTGAATATTTTACAATGTTTTTCTTTCCAATAATAGAAAAAAAAAACAGTAGGTGAAATTGCCTAATATTGCCCTGCCAGCTATTAACAATGCAAATAAATGTGGAGAAAAAAAAGGTGTTTATTCCTTAAAATGTGTGGGAATGCAGGCATTTGTGGTGGACTTATTTATTTCTATTAAAAAAAATCAATTTGCTCTTTTCTTCCTTCTAACCCTCCTCCACCCTGAACACGCCGCTATTTTACCCCAGTGAGTTGCTTTGTGGTTATTGTGGTTTTTCTTCACCCAGCAACAAGACAAAAACATAAATAAAGGAAAATGTGCTGGTGGATCCACAGATTTTGATGAGACTTCAGGCTTCAGATGGTCAAAAGCAAATCTGGCCCTCTTCTCCAGTGAATTTGAGGCCAGGAATCTGGTTTTGCTACAAATGTGTGATCTCTGACACAACACAGGGGGATTTTAGTCCCCATCAGACATTCCAAGGTTCTGGGGAGACTCCAAAGTGGGAAATTGTTGAAATTATTTTAGTGCCTCCCAGTTTGGGGTGGTTGTCTGGAAAGTTGTTGTTCTACCCTTTATTTTGATTTATTTCCTCTATTCTCACAGTCTCTCATTCTTTAAACACAGAGCACCTGCTGGCACCAACATTTTATTGAATAAAATGCGTTTTTCCTGACCAATTGGAGAAAACCGCTGTCAGTTCTGATCTGATGCGATTTCAAATTCCTGATTTTCTTCCTTTTGTTGTTTTATTTTGTTTTCCAGTGTGGTGAAGGAAGAGATCTCAGATGACAATGCAAAGCTGCCCTGCTTCAATGGAAGAGTGGTGTCTTGGGTATGTTGGATTTTGTCTGTGGAAATCTGTGTTTGATACTGGAAGCTGATTTTTAGATCTTGTTTTTGCTGGGATGAAGGAACACAAGGAAACAATAATAAAGTAGGTTTATAGGAGTTTTTTACAGCTGAGCAATTGGAACAAAAGTGGAATTATCAGGTGGAATCAGCAGTTCTTTCATTTCTGTGCTGATTTTAGGAGTTGAAGATCTTGCAACTTACACTTCTTACAACTTTTTTATATTTTAACCATTTTTATATTTTAACTGTTATTTTTATATTTATCTATTATTTTTATATTTTAACTATTATTTTAATATTTTAGCAGTTATTTTTATATTTTAACTAAACTATTATTTTAATATTTTAACTATTATTTTTATGGCTTAACTATTATTTTAATGGTTTAACTATTTTAAAAATATTTTAACAATTTTTTAATATTTTAACTATTTTTTTAAATTAACTATTTTTAATATTTTAACTATTTTTATTATTTTAACAATTTATTTAAATATTTTAACATTTTATTTTTGTATTTTAACTATTTATTTGAATATTTTAACTATTTTATACCTTAAAATATTTGAGCAGCCCAGACATTGAAGTTGTACAGAATAAAGACATTTGCTGCCTGCTGAGCAGCTTGACCTTTCCCAGCCTGGCTTCTTGCAGGCAGGATTACATGGAAATAACATGAAAAATCAAATGCAGAATCGATTGCCTGCTGTTTCCTGCATGCAAGGAGAAGTGCAGTGTGTTTTTTCAGACTGGCTTTGACTGGGAGATGCTTCTTGAGCAAAGATTCCTTGTGGATCAGCCCTGCTGGGAAATGCTGGATCACACCTCTCCAGCCACTTCTTCCCACTCTATTGATTGATTTTTATTTTAGGGCACTCAGATTCTGGCAGCTGGGTAGTCCCAACAGGTTTTTAGTGTTAGGCAAGCAAAACACATGGCTTTGTAAACCTGAGTTTAAAATCAGTCCTCCCACTCACACCCAAATATGTGTTAAGCACTGAGTAGAGTGAGGTCTTAAAAATTGGGATTTTCAGTCTGTGCTGTCCAAAAGTAGCTGGGAATTGTGTTCAGAAGGAAAAGTTACTTTCCCCCTTTTTTTTAAGACCTTCCTACCTGTTTTTTTACCTTTTTTGCTCCAACCTTTAGCCCAAGCAGCAGTAAGTGACTGATAACCAAGGGATCTTTTCTGAGAGCATTTCCTCCCAGCAGCATCGGAATGCCTTGGCTGGGGCATGGAGGAGTGCTTGAAGGCAGAATTATTTTGATTTAAAGCTGCATTTCTGATCCAATTCCAGTCTAAAGCTGGGCAGTGCTCAGAGAAAGGAACGAGTACCACTTTACTCCAGGAAAAAGGGAAGATTCCCTGGATGAGGGAAAATTGGTTGTCAAATGAATAAAACCATTGGCATTAGAGAATCAAACTGATGTTTAAACAAACAGAAAATGTTTGAGAGCTGAGGATCCATCTGCAGGCAGCACCAATTTATTAATTTCACAACTTTCTTCCATTCTTAATGAGGTTGTGCCCTGGGAACTGGATTTGGGATGGGGATCAGTGCTCCAGGATGCCCCTGACCTCTGCTGCTGCTGCTTTTGTCTCCAGTGCAAGGATCACAGAGCGTGGGGCTCTGCCAGGGTGGCAAGGGATGGGACAAAAAGGGATTTCATGTGTGACTAACGAGCAGAAAAGAGAGTCCCAAAAGCTGCAGATGAAGCAGAGCAGGAAATGGAGCTGGGATTTGTGCTGCCATGGCCTGGGAGCAGCACTGGTGCCTTGTGTCCCTTGCTGGTCACCAGAATCCCTTGTGAAAGCTGCCCTGGAACAGGGGCTGGACAGACTTAAAGAATAAAGTAGGGATTTTTATAATAATAATGATAATAATCATGATAATAATAAAACATCTAAAAAATATAAATGTCTATAAAAATATATATATTTATATATTATAAATTTTAACTATATAAAATATATAATATTGTTATATATAAATATAGATTTTCTAAATATATTACATTTATGTATATATATAAATATATATAAGAATATATATATATATATATATATATATATATATGTAATACTGTTATTTTCCTTAATTGAGCATTTTTTGTGTGCTACACTAAATTTTTTCATTCTGCTCAGGATGAGTTATAAACTCACCCATATTTCAGGATGAATTACAAAGTCACCCAGTCGTGTAGAGGCAGCAAGATTGGAGAAAGTTGGGTTGGATTTATTCCTTCAAAACTTGTTTTTTTTCCTGCCTTCCCACCCATCAGCTACTCCCAAATTTCTCCTGGTTTAGTGCATTTTAGGAGCTCCTTTTGCAGATGATGTTGACTAGGGTTTCTGTTTAGCAATCAGGTCAAACATCTGGGTCTGACCTGCCTGATGAATTGCAAATTGCTTTTTCCACACTAACACCCATAAAATTGCAGGGCTTATCTGCCTCTATTTGCTGCTAATTACTGCAGGAGTTTTATGTAAATCTCACTGGAAGTTAATTGTTCCCTTTTGAAATCTTTAATATACCATTCACTGGGACTTAACAGATAATTGCACACAGGGATAGCAATAGCACAAAGGGATAGCAAAGTTGGGTCTTTACCTTTTAGAAACATATATATATATAATTTCTATATATATTATATATGTTTTTATATATGATATATAAATATATATAAAATAATGCAATATATAATATAGAAAATAAAAAATATATTATAAAGATATAAAAAGAAATATTATCTATATAATTTTATATATAAATATAATTATATATTAAACATATAACTTATAAATATATAGTTAGAGATATAATATTATATATTATATATATTATGTATATCATATATAAAAATATATATCAAACATATAATCTTTCAATATATTCTTTTATATATTTTAATATATATTATTATTTAGAAAATGCAATAATACAAATAATTTAATATAGAATATATTATATTAATTTTAATTATATATAAATAAAATTAGTATATATTTATATGTATATATAATTATAGATAAAATTTTATATATATAATTTCTAAATATTATATATGGATATATAATTATGTATGTACACACACTCTTTTGTTTTTGGCGTTTCAGCCAGGGTTATTTACTTATCTGTTGTTTTTTAGTTTTGTTTTTTTTTTTTTATGGGTCTGAGCTTTCTTTGTCCCCAGTGCTATAAAATGTGTGTCAGCTGCTGGGAGACAGTTGGGATTCTTGCACAAACCCATCTGTAAGGATTTTGTGGTCCTGGAAATCACTGCAGCATGTTTCACAGCCCCAGCACACGTGTAAAAATGGAAAAAACCCCTCAATGTACACAGCCCCAGCACTTGTGTAAAAATGGAAAAAATCAGATTGCCGTGCTCCTGGAAGTGACTGCAGTGAGTTTCACAGCCCCAGCACTAAATGTAGAAATGGGAAAATTCAGTGTACCCAGCACAGCTGATCCTCCTCTTCCCCCCACCTCTCCCTCCTGACTGAGCCCGTGGCCACTTTGAAGTTTCCACCAGGGCTGACGTGGGGAAATGTGAGATTTTCATCTTTTTTAATCCCATTTGAATCCTTCTGTTTGTCAGAGGTGGGAACTTTGATCTGGGTGTCATCTGCAGGACTGATTTCCATAGGGGAAAATATTCCAGGGAGGATCTGCAGGTCTGGATTAGTGGTGAATTAAAATCCCTGCTGCTAATTAGCTATTTCAACTTCCTCCCCAGCCCTCCTATGTCCTGCTTGTTTTCCTCCTCCACAGCTCAGATCTCCTTCCTTTGATTTCAGCCTGGGTTTGTTTTTTCCCTTTTTGTTTTTTCTTGTGTGTTTTTGTTTTTGTTTTTTTTTTGCTGGTTTTGTTGTTGCTGTGGTGGTGTTTTTTAAGCATGAAAAAATTTGGGACAGAGCTGCTCTTTCCTAGATTCGTTTGCAAGGAATTCTTTTGAATCCTTTAAAAATCCTCTTTTTTTCCTTTTAAACTGGTTGATCTTTAGTTTTTTGACAATACAGAGGCTATCATTAATTGTGTGTCGGAATTCTTAATTCCAGTAAATGCATTTACACAAACACATCTTCTGCCACAAATACCTGATATTTGTCCTGTTTTTCTAACATACAACACAAAATATAATTTTTCTCTGAGAATCATTTGTTTGGAGTTTTCTGGGACTTCTTACCTGAATGAAATTATTAATGCCATTTTTGCTTTTTGCCTTTTTATTTTTGGGCCTTAACTGGGCAATTTGGAAAAAAAAAAGTGGAAGAAAATATTTTTTTCCAATAAATTGTTTTTCTGTTCTCTTGGGGAAAAGTGGAATGGTGAAAGCTGGGAGTGTGGCAGGAATTGGTTTGTGGCTGCTGCCAGCTCTGTTATCCCCGTTTTTTAGGAAGGATTTGCAACATCTGGGAACAATTCCTTGCCTGGCTGCTGGGAATGTGCAGTTCCCCATTGGCTGGCAGTGATGTCACTGCTTTCTGGGAGGTTTTCCCTGCTTTTTCCTCCCCATTATCTGGGTGCCAGCAGATAATTCTTGTCCTGTTTGTACATCAGCTTTTTCTAGCCTCTATTTGCAATTATAATGAACTCCGTGGTGGGGCAGAACCATTTGACAAGGGCAGCACAGGAGCTTCAGGGCAGGGAAATGAAAAAATAAAAATGCTCAGTGCTGAAGCAGGGAATAAAAATCCCCAGGAGCAGAATCTTGGATGAAATGAGCTGATTTCAGGGCCAGTCTCTTTGCACTTTATATAAACCCTGACTCATCCCAAGCCTCATCTCAGCACAGACAATTTCTCCTTGCTCAAATAAAATCCTTTTGCTGATGAGGTTTTAGCAGAGCTGGGGAGTCCTGGTGCCTTTGAGGGAATTCCTGGTGGAGCACAGGAATTTTTTTGCAATTCCAGTTCTGCAATTGCTCCTTTGGGAGCAGCCTTGTGTGGATAATGGGGCACAGCTCGGAAGCTTTGACTTGGAATCTGAGCTGCCTCTGACTTGATGCGAAATAATTATTTCCAGCTCAGAGATGAATGTTGCTGTTGGGAAGTTGCTGTCAAAAATATAAATGGCTCTTTTGGGTATTTCTTTAGTCACTGGGATGCCTTGGGAAGGCTGAGCTAGAGCAGAGTTAAAGAATAAAGCAGGGATTTATGACAAGTTTCTCCTCAATGGATCCACCTCGGGCAGCACAAGAGCCCAGCCAGAGCTGCACCCAGGATGGTCCCAAAATGAACCCAAGATGAACCAAAATGGTCCCAAAAAAGGATGATCAGTCACAAAATAATGTTTTAGTCCACTGGCATCTTGGAGTGAATTGTCCAATTCCAGCTTTAGCCCATGCAGTCCCATCCTTGTTTTTCTCTCTCCAGCCCACGGTGTTTGTGGTTCTGGGCTGAGATTTGGATCATCTGTCCTTGGTGCCCAGCTGGAGCAGGAATTGTTTTGTCTCCCTGCTCTGTGCACAGAGCTCACCATCCCACAGTATGAAGCCCAGATCTACCCACTAAAGCAGCACAGAATGTGAAAAATAGAAAATCCAAAACCTGAGGCATCACCTGGGATCAATCCCTCACGAGGCTCTCCCTGAGCTCAGAGAAACACCAAGAGCTGCTGCTGTTTCTCAGTGGGAGTTTCAATATTGTACTTTTTGCTGCTGATAAATTAATATTTAGCCAGATGAGATTTGAGATATGGGATTTAGGATAATTCCCAAGTACTCCACAGAAGAATTCCTGGTGCTTGCAGAAATTCTGTGCCCATCCAGGCTGATGTTTTCACGTGGAACCTGAATTTAAGCTGAATTTAACCAGTTTTTCTGCAGGTTTGGCAGGAATCCCTGCACTTCCCCTCGGATCCTGGAAGTTTGGCTGTACACTTGGAGAAGCTGGTGGGATTTTGAGGATATAATTTTGTGTAATTCTGGGTTTTTTTCTGTTGGCAGCTGGTCCTGGCTGAGAGCTCCCACTCTGATACAGGCTCCCAGTGCACCGAGAGCCACGTGGAGCTGCCCCCAGCCCTGGAGAGGACAGGAGGCATCGGAGACTCCCGGCCCCCCTCTTTCCAGTAAGCCCCAATTTATTCATCAGATTCTCATTTAGCAAATTGATTTATCAAATTCTCATTCCCATCTATTTCTCACCCTCATTTCCCTTACTGCTGCAAGCCAGCTGTTTGTTGTTGTGGTAATAAAAATTAAATATTGAGGAATTAAAAGGGGGATGGGACTGAAATCCCCCTGTCATTGTTACAGTGAATATTTATTTCATATGAAATATTTATCCAAAATATCTCATTTTCTCAGTCCCCATCATTCCGGTAATTCCCACTGATTTATCAAATTACCTTTCCCATCTATTTCTCACCCTCATTTCCCTTCTTGCTGCAATCCAGCTGTTGTTGTGATTATAAAAATCTAGTATTGAGAAATTAAAAGGGGGATGGGACTGAAAACCCTCTGTCATTGATAGAGTGAATATTTATCCAATAAATTTATCCAAAATATCTTGTTTTCCTGGCCCCCATCATTCCAGTAAGCCCAAATGCCCATTGATTTATTATTGATTTCTTCCCATCTATTTCTCACCCTCATTTCCCTTCCTGCTGCAAGCCAGCTGTTTGTTGTTGTGATCATAAAAATCAAATATTGAGGAGTTAAAAGGGAGATGGGACTGAAAACCCTCTGTCATTGTTGAGAGTGAAATATTTATCTAAAATATCTCATTTTCCAGCCTGTTGTGGATGAGTTAAGTAGGGAGGGAGCCCAAAGTGCTTTTTGCAGTGATTAGTGTGTTCTGTGTAATTAGGGAGGCTGCAGAGGCAGCTGAAGGCTGCTGGCACCAGGGAGAATTTCCACCAGGAATAATTACAATTCCTTGGCCATCCAGAGGCTGCCAGCCCCAGCTGTGGCTGGGAATATCTGCTTTGATATTCTTATTTCCTCTTCCTGATCCTTAGATATCTTCATTTTCCAGGAAATTTCCACCTGGAAAAAATTCCTCCTTCCACCAGGGGGATTTAAAGCAGGGCCTTGTGCTCTTAGGATGTGTTTGGAGAAGGAAATATGGCCTGGATTTGCCTTTTTTTCAATTTTTTGGGGGGGATGGATGTTGCCTGGAAGAGCTCTCAATGTCATGAGTCTTTTTAAAATAAACCTTTTAGCGGACAAGAAATGCTGGGAAATCCTGGCAGTGCCTTGCTAGGGCTGTGCTGCCCTCCTGTGTTCTGATCTGGCCAGAAAATAAAACCAGGCTTTTGTCTTTCCTGGCCTAAACCTGCCTGGCACAGCTGCAAGCACCAGCTTTATTTAAAAAGATAATTAGCTGATAATTAGGCACGAGGTTTGTGGGTCTAATGCGCTGCTGGTCCTCCTGCTTTGTTTTTTTGTTTTTTTCCCCTTCATTTTTTGCTTCATCATTGAATGAAATATATATATATATATATATATATATATATAAAATATTATAATTAGTTAGATGTAACATTTATATATTATAAAATATATATTATATATTACATGTTATGTATTATACAATGTAATATATATTACATATAATGTAATGTATAATATATTATTTATATTATGTAATATAATTCAATAATTATTAAAGAATTTAATTTAATAATTAATTTATTTACTAAATTATTTGGCTCAGCACTGGGGGAAAAGGCAGCTGTTTTTTTTTATTTTTGCACCCTTTTCAATGGTGTAAATCCCATTTTGGAGGCTGGTTTGAGTGAGGATCCTGAGCAGGAGTCAGCAGATGGAGCTGCTGGGATGGACAAGAGTGACCTGAGCCACGTGTGTGTCACCTCTTCCCTTTGCCAGCTGTGCTGCACTCAACAAGAAATGTTAAAAAATCTGTGTGGCAGCACTGAAATCCCCCTGGCATTTTGATAGGGAGTAAAATATGTCTCCTTGGTAGGGATTAAAATGTGCCCCCAGATGTTTTCCTGAAGGACAGCCTTGATTTCCTCATGGCTGTGGTGGGCATGTCACCCATCACATCTATGCTCAGGGAGTGGGGTGGGCAGGAGTTCTGAAATGGGGAAATAGCTTCACCCTCAGGTGCTTTGGGGTTCTCTTTTCACCCCTCAGGTGGTTTTTTATTATCTTTTCACCTCTCAGGTGTTTGTAGGTTCTCTTTCCCCCCTATGGTGTTTTTGGGGTTCTCTTTCCCCCCTGAGGTGTTTTTGGGGTGTCCCATCAGCCTGGGCCAGCGTGTAGCGCTCACCCTCAGCAGTTCTGTACCCTCTGCCCCAAGCTCCTCCCGGCTGGAGCTGCCTGGGTGGGAAGGGGACCAGCAGAATAACGCAGCGATTGTCCCCCTGTGCTCTGTGCCAGCCCCAACGCTGCCAGCAGCAGGGATGGCCTGGACAACGAGACAGGAACCGAGTCCGTGCTCAGCCATCGGCGTGAGCGGCACCGGCGCAGGAACCGCGAGAGCCACGAGGACGGTGAGTGCCTCCTCATCCTCCCCTCCCTCATCTTCCTCACGGCTCCCAGAGCAGCAACTCCTCTGTGGGGTTTGTGAGGGTCCCCAGGATGAGGTGAGAGAAGAGAATCTGACTCTGTGTTCTCAGAAGGCTGATTTATTATGATATGATATGATGTTAAATAACATGATATGATGTGATATATTCTATTCTCTATTCTATATTCTATTCTATTCTCTATTCTCTTATATACTGTTTTATCTTATATTATATTATATTTTATTTTATATTACATATTCTCTTATATTAATGATGTTATGTTATATGATATTATGCTATACTATATTATACTATACTAAAACTACTAAAGAATACAGAAAGGATACAGACAGAAGGTTTAGCAAGAATGAATAATAAAAACTCATTGCTGACGCCTCAAAGTCTAACACAGGTGATGGTGATTAGTCATTAATTAAAAACAATTCAATGAAATCAATAAAACATGCACCTGTTGGTAAAGGATCTCCAGCCACATCCCAAAGCAGCAAACACAGGAGAAGCAATCAGATAATTATTATTTACTTTTTTGTCTAAGGCTTCTCAGCTTCCCAGGAGAAGAAATCCTGGTGAAGGGATTTTTCAGAAAATATCACAGTGACACTCCTCCTCCTCCCCAAGAGACTCCTGGCTAAATTCCTGCCAGCTTTCAGGGAATCTTCATTATTATTTTAATGCAATAATTTGTTAATTGCTCTGAAACTCTTTGAAGCTCAGCGTTTTTGCCAGAAACACTCCACAGTGAAGTGGCAGAGAGATTGTTTTTGACAATGTGCAGAACTTTGTGTAGCATGAGAAGATGAATGGCTTGGCTGTTGATTTCTCAAGGTTTGGATGAGCTGTGGTGTTTTCTGCTGGTGTAACAGAGGCTCTGAAGATCTTTTTTTGTACCTAAATGCGCCCAAAGTGCACCTATAAAATGCAGAACTCCATCTCTTGCCTCTGGTCTGTACATCAAAGGAAGCTTGGGTTTTTCATTCATTGCCAGACAAGAATTTCCAGGCTTAATTAAGAATTAATAGTTGCCACCCATTGTGTTTAAAATGGTGCAGAATTTGGAATACTTGGGCCCAAGAAATGCCATCACAGCCTTTATTCACAGCTCCACCCACCAAAGCATTTGCCTCCAGTTAGAAATCAGATTTCTACTGAGGGATTCTGTTCATTTAACCCCTCCAGAGGGTCACTGATGAGGAGTGAATGGAAATCCCTCAGTGGGAGGAGCAGAGCTTGTCTGTGCATGATCCTGACTGCATATTCCTTTGGGAACTGACTAAAAGAGGCAGAATCCTCTCACAGTGTTGATTAAAAACTTGTTGCGGGAAGAATGTGAAAAGGGGAGTTGTTTTAAGCATGAAATCAGTGCCAGGGCATGTTTTGCTCTGGATATTTTTGGCATAAGAGCTGGTGTTGGTGGATGGAATTGTGTGAGCATTGTAGTGGTCTGAAACCCATTCATGCATTTCTCTTGAGAAGGAAATGGGAGTAGTTTCCCTCCTTTTACCAAAGCCCAGGCAAGAACCTTACTACAGTCACACGCATTACTTTTCTCTGAATTTAGGCCTTCTGCCTGCAGCAGGTGAGTTCTCTTAGTGTGCATAGAGCAAGAAGAGCTGCTTTCAGACGTTATTCTATGTCCATGGTGTTTCTGTTGTCATAACAATATTAAATTTAGCAACAGCAACATCCAGTACAATAACAACACCAGGAGTGTGTTGTTTTCAGTGGAAAGCAAATCTAAAATGCACAGTTCAGCTCTGTCCTGAATTGCACTGAAAGAAGTCAAATGCCCAAAACCTGGGAAGGATTTTAAGCCCTTTTCATAAGAGTGGTCATGGGGTCACTCTTTTCTTGCACCTACAAGTCTTGTGTGGATGGAAAATGGGGGAACAGCCTTTGGAGAAGGGGGACAAGGATGGGGAAAGGTCTGTGACACCTGGATCCAGCTGCTGTGTGCTGGGAAAATCCTCCCTGAAATGCAGCGAGAGTGTTTGATGTGCTCCTGCAGGGACTTGTTTGAAATGCCCAAATGACAGCCCTGGTGCTTGGCAGAGGGATCTCCTGCAGCTCTGTGTTACTGACAGCTTTGTGCCATAGGATTTATTCCAGAGGCACAGGAACAGCTCACCCCAGCTGGACACTTTGGAAGTGTTTGGTACAAAGAATCACCCACCCTGGCAAAGAGGATTTCCCTGGGTTCCCTCAAGGGAAGGCAGTTCTTGCTCCACAAGAAAGCAGGAGCGGGGTGTTGCAGCCTTCATTTCAAACAGGTGAAGTGAGAAAAGGTGTGAAGGTGCCATTTGGGAACAGAAACACTGGGCTGGAACCTGAACAGGTCAAACAGGCTGAGCTCAGAGCACTGGAATTGAGAGGTTCCACAGAATGAAGGTTGGGAAAACCCCAACACTAAACAAAGATTTTTTTTGTGCTTCTCTCCATTTTAATTTACAAAAATTGCTTCCTAATTTTACTCGAAAACGTTGCCTGCTTTGAAGTGCAGCAAGATCCTTGCAGAGGTTTGGTTTGGAGTTGGGGTGATGAGAATTCCCCAGATTCTCCCGGGATAATGAGCAGTGTGGTACCACAGGTGGGTTGTTCAGCACAGCTGCCTGAATATTTCCCTTCATTTCTGCAGGGCTACTCACCCCAAAAAAAGCTGATTTTGCTGAATTCCACACACAGAGTGATAAATATTGATTGCAGCTGCAGCTGGAGGGTGTGGGACACACCTGGGTGATCTGACAGTGTTTTCATACCTCTTCCCATTGAAAATGCAAAAGGATTTGGGGTATCCCTAAGTTCTTCCACCCCTTTCCCATAAATTGCATTCCTGTTTTCAGTGCACAGACAATTAATCTCCATCTGTGCTTGTATATTCTCTGATTTTAAAATAATCCCCACAAAGATGGTGCCTTGAGGAATGGAGTAAAACTCCTTTTTTGGAGCTGTGTGACACTGCAGATACAAACATCAAGAAAACCTTGAGGAAAACCGATCTGGAAAAAAAACCATCAAGATGTCAGAGCTCCCAACAAATATCCTCATTGCTTTGGGAGGTTGACAAAGTTCTTACTAAGTGAAAGTAGAGCGAGGATCTTAATTGGGGTGGTGGGAGGTCTGCCTGGCACATGTGCTGGGGACCCCCGGCTGGGAGGAACAAAGCTGCCATGTCAGTTTGGTGAGCAGGAGTGGGAAAGGGGACTGCGGGAGCTCTGATTAGGGAGGTAATTAAGGGACAAGATGGTTTTTTTGGATGTTGAGAAATGTTTTATAGCTGCTGCTGGGTTCCTGACAAGTCTGCAGATGTCAATGTCGATGCTGAGGTTTCAACACCCACTTTGCTGTGGGGTCAGTTTAACTCTTGAGCAGCCAGTGAGAAATGCTGGAGAACCCTTCATATGGGCAGGCTCACAGATCCCCAAATGTTTGGGAAGAGGAGCAGCTGCAGATTTCCCCTGGCTGCTGCAATATGTGGAGTTTTAACTGTGATTTATGACTGCAGGAGGGCTGGGACTGCAAAACAGCTGGGGTGGGCATGTTGGGCCTGACTGGGGTGGAGGGACTGGGCTGTGTGAGGATCCAAAGAACTTCAGTCCCAAGGCAAGTCAGGGCACAGGGATGCGCCCATAAGGCAGGATGACTAATAATAAAGTGCTTTTCAGACCTTCTGATATCACCTTTGTCTGTCCCCAATACCCCTTCAGTGACAATTATTTATCCTTTTTCTTTCTTGGTTTCTATGTCAACCTTGGTAGGAAATTCTTTCAGGGGATAAACATGGATCCTCTTCTCAAACTTCTCTCTGGCTCAAAGAATTCACTCTAAAACCTCTCCTACATCTCCTGCTGTGGTGCCACAACCCCACTGTAGCCACATTTCCCTTCACAGAGAAAAGCAAGGCACAACTTCCCAAGAGTATTTCTGGGATTCACGTTCTCTAAACCTCAGAGAAAAGAAAAACAGTTCTTATCTCATTTGCTGTGCCTGTGTTTGTGCAAAATTAGAATGCAAGATGGAGATTGTTTACCCAGGGGGATGGAGTTTTGTTTCATTGGCCTGTCAGGGCCAGTTGCATGTGTGGGGACTGTTGGGTGATAGTCACCAGATGAGTGCAGTTGAATGCTTGAATGCTTGGCAAATTCAGTTTAGATGTAATGGAATATAGTGTAATGTAATATGGAATAATATAGTATATATATATATATATATACACATACATATATATATATATATTCATATATATATGTTCATAATAAATAAATATTATGGTATATATAATATACGATAATATATAATGTACTACACTAATATAATATAGAATAATATAGTATAATAAAGTAATTAATTAACCTTCTGATATCAGTGGAATCCTCCTCATCATTTCCTCTACTTCATCAGGGGCAAAAATATCTGCAATACCCTCCTGGTCTGTAACACTCCTTTCCTGTGCCCTGCAGCCCCCAGGATCAATGGGCACCCCAAGCTGGACAGGCACCGGGAGCATCCCCCTGGCTATGACAGCTCCTCCACCATGCTGAGCAGTGAACTGGAGTCCAGCAGCTTCATCGACTCTGAGGATGATGACAACACCAGCAGGTACAGCCCTGCCAGGGACACAGCGCTGGGCACATCTTGGGCTCCTCGTCTCTTTTTTTTTTTTTTTTTTTTTTTTTTTTTTTTTTGGTGGGGGGGGTTGGTTTTTTTGGGTTTTGTTTTGTTTTGTTTTTTTTCCTTTCATTTCTTTAGTGATTTTATGCCTTGAGAAGGAACACAGACTAGATAAGGAATAAAGTAGGGATTTATGAAAAGTTTCTCCTCAATGGATCCACCTTGGGCAGCACAGGAGCTCAGCCAGGGCTGTACCCAAGATGAACCAAAATGGTCCCAAAATGCATGGCCGGGCACGGGGTCTCTCACTTTAATCAGTTCTGCTCCATTTGCATCTTGGAGTGAATTGTCCAATTCCAGCTTTAGCCCATGCAGTCCCATCCTTGTTTTTCTCTCTCCAGCCCACGGTGTTTGTGCTCCTGGGCTGAGATTTGGGTCATTTGTCCTTGGTGCCCAGCTGGAGCAGGAATTGTTTTGTGTCCCTGCTCTGTGCACAGAGCTCACCATCCCACAGTATGAAGCCCAGACCCACCCACTAAAGCAGCACAGAATGTGAAAAACAGAAAAGCCAAAACCTGAGGCATCAGTACATAATCTGAAAAACAGAAATGCCAAAGCCTGAGGCATCACTTTGAGCACAGGTTGTTCATCAGTGCCATCTCTGTGTGGAATCACTGCTCAGTTTTTGGGTCGAGGGTCTGGGCCAAATATATAATTCTATGAATTATACCTATAAGTTATATCTAAAGATATTTTTGTTTTTCTTTAAGAAGTCTTTACCTCTGTTATTGGGTCCAAACCACTGCTCCTGTTGAAAGAAAAGCTCTGCTTCTCTCCTTTTCATAGCAACAATGGCCACATTTCCAGATCAAAGCACTCTGCCTACCTATTTGTAAAGCAGTGGTGTGAATATTAAAACAAAGTACTGTCAGCAGAGATTCCTAATAAGTATGCATTTTACTGGAGCTCAGTTATAGAGGAATACCTGGAATTGCATACTCTGAGACCTATGAGCAGTTCAGGAATTCATCACAGTTAATGCTGTTGCAAAGGCTGCCATAGATTTGTGGCTTCTTCATTATTTCTTTCTTTTTGTGTAGGCAGAGTGTGTGAATTATTCCCTACTTGAAAAATAGCTCTCATTTCAAGACATCTTTGTTATATCTAAAGATGTTTTTGTTTTTCTTTAAGAAGTCTTTAAGCCAATACATTTCATGGATTTAAAATAATTATTTTCATGGGTGTAAAACAAATCTAAAGTATTTTCTTTCCTTTTCCTGGCCACATTCGCTGGAATATTCTTCATTTTCCTGGCCACTGGCTCTAGAGCTGTTGTTCATCCCAGTGGTCTCTGAAAATCCAGCATGGATTTGTCAGAGTACAACAGGGTGACAGATCTCTGGTGGGTCACAGTGATCTGCAGCTAAAACAAATAAGGCAGAACGTGGTAATTTTAATAAAACCATGAGATTTTTAATAAAAACAGCAAAAAGCAACTACTCCTGGAGATCCTGAACCCCTTGATGTGCTTACAAACATGATCAGCTTTTGGGTCTTGGTGGATCTGTTGGGTCTTGCAGCTGGTCAGGGTTTAAAGACCTCACAATTCTGATTAAAGGCTGAGAGTTCCCAAAGGGCTGAAAGGATAACTAAAATCCACATTAGAGATTTAGTCCTGAATTAGTTTCAAGAATTTATTTTGCACTCCCAGTGAAGTGCAGGGTGTCCCTGCACATGGCAGGTGTTGGAATAAGATGAGTTTAAGGCCCCGTCCAACCCAAACCATTCAATGATGAGATATAAAAAAGCACTTTTCTGGATATTTCCCTGCATGGAGGGATGGTCCTTAACCCTGAATGCACCCAAAGCTTTCAGGGCTTTGAGCCCTCCCCCAAAACCTGGAGCCCACAACAACAAAACCCTGCAGGTGATTTGTGTTTCTTGTAAATAAATGAATAATTTCCATGGCAGCCAGCAATGCAGTGGGGCAGGATTAGCTCAGGGTGGCCACATTAGAGTAGACCCAGCGAAATCTCACAGTATGAATAAAATAATAATAAAACTTCCTGAGTCTGACCTGAGAAGAAGGAGATTTTTGGAAGCTGCTGCTCCTGCCTTTCCCTCTGGAGGCTGGGCAGGAGTTTTTGGCACAGGAGGAGCTGCCAGGCCAGCTAGTCAGGAAGAACCACTGCAGGAATGCTCCAAGGTATGCTGCTGTATTCCAGGGGGATGATGATGTTCTCAGGCACAGGAGACTTGGTGCTGGCAGGGAGAAGTTTTCTGTAGAGGCAAATCAGGCAAAGAGCAAATGGAGAAGGTTCCAGAGCTGCAGGAGGCACCAGTCTGGGGACAGAGGAGGGATCCGAGGGGTGAGTTTGGCTCCTGAGGGACACATCCCCTGGGGACAGAGGGGTCTGAAGGGTCAGTTTGGTTTCTAACAGCTGATGGACACATCCTCTGGGGTCTGAGGGGTGAGTTTGGTCCCTGATGGACACACCAGTGCGGCGACAGAGGGTCTGAGGGGACAGTTTGGAGTTTGGTTCCTGATGGACACATCCTCTGGGGACAGAGGGGTCTGAGGGGACAGTTTGGAGTTTGGTCCCTGGTGGACACATCCCCTAGGGACTGTGAGGGGTCTGAGGGCTCACTTTGGTTCCTGAGGGACACTCCAGCTTGGGGACAGAGGGGTCTGAGGGGTCACTTTGGTCTCTGGTGGACACATCCCCTGGGGACAGAGGAGTCAGTTTGGTCCCTGAGGGACACATCAGTGTGGGGACAGGAGTCACTTTGGTCCCTGGTGGACACATCCCCTGGGGTCATTGGGGTCAGTTTGGCTCCTGGACTCTGGTGGGTTCTGGTGCTTTGTGGGGAGGCTGTCAGAGAGGAGGCTCTGAGGCAGGAAAACAAAGGGAAGGGATGTTGCAGTCCTGGAAGGGAAGAGTTTGTGAGCTGAGGATGCTTTTCTGCCTCAATTTGGTTTTATTTGAACTCAGAGCAGTGGAACAGAGCTGGGTAATTCCCAGCCCAAGAAAGCTCTGTTGCATTCAGTTAAAGAGTAAAGTCATGTTTTGGTGAATTAACCTGTTCACAAACATTCCAGGACAGTGCAGAGTGACAGTGGGAGCATAATAATTTCTTTCTTTTTTTTTTCCAAGTGTTTGACAATTTTTTAACTTTTTTTTTTTTACAAATTAAACGTTTCTGTTGTTAGCAGGTGGGATTTTGAGCACAGATTGATGTAGGGAACTTAACAGTAAAAGGTTTCTTCTGTCTTCTCTAAAGTAAAGGTTTAACAAATCTGACATGTGTAGCTGTGGGATTATTGTCAGCAATTGCTGCTCTCAGTTCAATGCAGCTAAACGAATTCACTGCAAAAAAAATTGTTTATTTCTCATTTAAGAAATTACCATAATTTCTTTTTAAGCCATGTGGATAAGCTTTCTTTAACAAATGTTGCCTTTTTTCCCGTCCTTTGAGAATTGTAGAATGGAGAAAAAATTATTGCTATTACTATTATTATTAACTATTTAAAAGTCTCTTCTGTGGTATTTATTGACATTTGTACTAGAAGTGCAGTCAGGGTTTTTGAGCAGTAGCTGGTGCAGGAAATTAATTGGCAGTGATAATTCCAGATTTATTTTTCATCTTTGCACTTTATTTGTCTCAAAAGCTCAAATTTACCATCTTGTCTTGCTCATCAGATTGTAATAATAACAACTTCTACCCAGTATTTCTGGAGATGCTTCAGAGAGCAAAATATTCCTCATTAGAGGAGGTATGAGCTGCTTTTTAGCATCCAGATGCTCCCAGAATATTAAGGATTCAACAAGGATGCATTAAGGCTGTGGATTGAGCAGAAATCACAAGGAGAGATTATGAAAATAGGTGTAAAAATGTTCCTGCAGAGCCTTCTGATCAGCAATTTTGTGCAGCTGATATTAACTTTTTAAAACTTAACTTTTAATTTTTCCCTGAAATATTTTGTGTCCCCCTTGAACATACCTGAGCTTTTCTCAGGGGCTGATTCTCATCCTTCCATCCTAATACTGAGAAGAATGGCAAAAATACAACAAGAAAAACTTCACTTCTCATATGTTATCACCTGCTAACAGGACCTCAGGGATTTGCCAAGAAAGTCTGGTTTTGCTAGTTTAATTTGAGAGAAAAATGCACTTTTAGGGAGCAGGCAGCTGTGGAATGAGTGCCTTGGATTTGCTCAGATTCTCCTAAAGTGGGAAATTTTAGCTTAGGGAAGAGGAGGAGAAGGAAATGGGAGAGGAAGTAGGAAGGGGGAGAATATTGACAGCAAAATAAAATATGAGGGATTTTTGTCAGTCTTTGATGACTATTGAACAAACCCGGTTTTGGAAACCCTGGGTTTGACACCTCCATATTTTTCCTGTTGGAAGACAAAACCTCCCAACCTCAGATGCTGTGTGAGCTGTTTTACCAACCAGAAATCATCACATTATGGATATTTTTTAATAAAATCCCACCTCTTGGCTCTTCAGTTCCCCTTGCTGGGAGGGGAAGGAGGAGTGTGTGAGGTTAACATGCCTGAAATATTTGTGTGAGCTCAAGGGAATGTCAGGAGATTCACACCCTCTGAGCAGCTCCAGGGCTGATACTTGATAAAAATATTTCAGGCCAGAGGGCTTTCCTGTGGGCAATTCCTTTTTGGAATTGCTGGCATCAAGTTTTTGAGGTATTGTCACATTCCTGCATGTGGCTGGAACATGGAATTCAGGGATGTGGAAACTGGGGGGGAAAGCGTGGCAATGTTTGTTTTGTGTATAATGTTGGAATTTTTAATCTTGGTTAATGATGGAGCATTGCTTTGGTTTTTTGTTTGTTTGTTTGGGGTGTTGTTGTTGTCTTTTTTTTTTCCCCATTCTTACATATTAAATAGAGGAGAGATGTCTCTCTGGTGTTATAGTGATATTTTAATAGTCTGGGCTTTGTTCCAGGCTCCTGAAATTAATTTGGGCAAATCCATTTCTGTCTCGTTCTGTTCTCTGTAAAGTGAGGATGGTTAATGCTCCAAACTCTTATTAAAGACCTTAAAGATTTATATGTAAAATGTGGCACATTTAGGTTCTGCAAGTTTGGAGAGCCTGGAGAAACAGCAAATTAAAAGTTAACAGAATATGTGAAGATAAATCATATTCACTGTCCCCCTGTTACCAAGTTCTGTTTGATTTCTTTAAATTCAAGCCTTGAATTCCTGGTAACAGTGGAAGAAAATTCAGCACCATGCCAGGACTCACAGAAATGAGCATTATGGGTTGCACTCAGACCTGCTGCCAGGAGAAAACAAGTGCTAAATTAAACAATAATCAAATTATTCATCTGGTCCCTGCTGTCCTTGAGCTGGAATCTCCTGCTGAGCTGTGTGTGCGATTTCCCCTGTCCTGCTGCTGCGGGTGGCAGAGCCTCTCAGGGGTAACATTTGCTGTCCTTGCCCTCAGGTTGAGCAGCTCCACGGAGCAGAGCACCTCGTCCCGCCTCATCCGCAAGCACAAGCGCCGGAGGAGGAAACAGAGGATGAGGCAGATTGACAGGGTAAGGCTGGCACCAGCAGCACCCAGGGAGCTGAACTGGGAGTTCTGAGTGGAGCTCTTGGCTCAAGAAGGGATCCAGGACAGGTCTGTTCCTGTTGAATTCACTGGGAAGGTTCCCTGTGTCTCCAGGCTGGGCTTAATCTCTGCATTTGATGTTCTGCGGCTCCAGAGTGAAGCTTTCACCTCTCCCTTTCTCCTTTCACTGTGCAGTGATCCCATTTCTGGTCTTTTCCAAGATAAATCTCTGCAGGAGAAGCTCCATTATGGTGTGGGAAGGGGTGTGAGATACCCTGAGACCTGCTGGGAGAAGAAATCCAAGTTCACAGGAAATCCCAAATCTATCTCTCTGCCCTTCCCTGTGCTAGTCCTGGGCAGCAGGATGAGGGTGACCCCACAGACAGACCCTGAAATATCTGTTTTCTTCTCCCATAAATCTCAGTCTCCACACATGGAAGAGTGACCTCACACACATTTTATCACAGGATAATGTTTCAGAAGGTCTTTGCTAAGCACCTTTGTATTTCATTTTGGAGGCAGGGCAGTGTCTCTCCTCTCCCCTCCTGCTGGATCATGTGCTGTTCACTCCTCCCTTTAGGGAGGAGCTGTGGTTGCAATAATTCACACTCTGCTGGGCACTTTAGGATCCAAATGTTTGCCTGACAGTCACAACCAGGAAGCAGAAATAATTCCAGGGGAAGTTCAGCTGAGAAACCTCAGTATAGGAAAGTGCTCTGTGTGTTTTGTGATCAGACCTTTGGAGAAAGTGCAGACTCTGCTCAGATTTCTTTCCTTAAAGTCTCTAAATGAAGCATAATTTTGAGGAAACCTCAATAATTTCTGTCTGCCTTTCAATTGGAATCCTCTTAATTCCTGATGAGTTAATCCTCAGCAGTTCTTACTCTGAGCCATTTAAAACCTTGAGACTTTTTCTGTTGTGTTTTGCAGTCATCCTCGTTCAGCAGCATCACTGACTCCACCATGTCCCTAAACATCATCACTGTCACGCTCAACATGGGTAAGAGGACAAGCCACGTTTTTTATTATGAATTTTGAGTGGTAGAGATGTATTTGGTATTTCTCTGGATTCCTAATCCGGAACTGGGCCATTTTCACCAGCATATCAGTGTTCCTTCCAGGGAAGGAGCTGGAACTGCAGCGTGTGGGGTTAATGGTGAGGGATTGGGGTAGAAAGGCACTGGGGATTTGCATTTCTGCTGCTCCTGTGTTTCATTTGTCAGCCAGGCAGAAATGTGCAGGGCTGCCAGCAAATTCAGCACCTTTCAGCAGCACCAAACCCTTCCTTGCCTCTCTGACATGTGGAACAAACATTGCCTAATGTGTTCAGTGCTAATTTCCAGGTGTGGACAAGTCTTTTCAATGCTCTTCCTCTTGCTGGTTTTTTTTTTGTTTTTTTTTTTAAATAACACTGTCTTGGATGAAAAAATCCTGTCTTTAGCAGCCTTTCCCTGAAGGTGCCAGGCAAATACTCATCATTAGAGCAGCCTGAGATCATTGCAAGTCAAACCTTGCCCTGCTGATATGCTGAGATGTTTCAAAGCTGAAACAGCCTCGCTCTTTGCTATCATTCCAATCACTTTATCTGCTTTTTTTTTCCCCTTTCCCCACCCTTTACTTTGTGTCCATCTAGAAAAGTACAACTTCCTAGGGATCAGCATTGTGGGGCAGAGCAATGACCGGGGTGATGGTGGCATCTACATCGGCTCCATCATGAAGGGAGGGGCGGTGGCAGCAGACGGGCGCATCGAGCCAGGGGACATGCTGCTGCAGGTGGGTCCCTGTCCCCAAATCCTGCTGCTCTGCCCTGCCATCCCACCAGCCCCACGAGCTGTAGTCAGCAGGGAACAGAATTTATTCATCCTCAGAAAAATGTGGCCCAAAGATGGCTGAAATTGGTGATTCTTTGTGAGATACTCTGAGAAACGACATCTCAAAGGAACGGAAGTGGTGACCGTTAAATGGTGGGATGGAAGTGGTGACCAGGCAGATAAATTGGGGGATTAATGAAGTAATTAAAACAACTTTTAACTTTCATGCTGCAAGGCTGACCTCTGCTCTCTGTTTCAGGTGAATGATGTCAATTTTGAGAACATGAGCAATGACGATGCCGTTCGGGTTCTGCGGGAAATCGTCTCCAAACCAGGGTGAGCACATCACAAAAAGCCTTCCTGTTTATCCTCCTTGTGCAGTTGTTGGAGCTGGGAAACCTCAGAGAAATCAACATTCTGATATCCATCAGCATGACTGATCTCAGCTGTGAACTTCTCAGTGTAAATGATGAATAGGTGAGGTTGGTTCTGGCAAAAAAACCAACATGAATTGAGAAGTTGCCTGCTTTCAGCAGAGCTGTTTGTTTATGTGATGGGAATTTTAATATCTCAGGAGCTGATCATCCAACAGATTTCATCACCAGTGCTCATCATCTGTGCGAAACCAGGAACCTCCTGATATGCTTCATACTGAAAATATTAGAAAGTTTCTCAAAACTATTCATACTTAAATTATTACAAAGCTTCTCAAACCCATTCATACTTAAAGTATTATAAATCTTCTCAAAACCATTCTCAGAATGTACTTGACAACTGCTGAATAAAAATAAATTTGTTTCAAATACTTCTTGTAGCATTTCCAACTCTGTAGGAAATTCAAGAATCATCCTTAACCTGTTTTCTTTCTTCCTAGACCTATCAGCCTAACAGTAGCCAAATGCTGGGACCCTACTCCCAGGAGTTATTTCACCATCCCCAGGGGTGAGTACACATTTAAACTCTTTGCTGGGTTCCTGGGAAGCTCCCAAGATCTGGAATATTTTTACCTATTTTGGCACCTAACAGATTCTACCCATTCAGTCCTTTAATTGTTTACTTTTGTATTGGGAGCCTGGGGTTCCACTGCCCATTGAGTTTCTGGGAGTTTTTCTCTTGGTTCACATCTTTGGGTCCATCTCCTAAACTTCTGGGAAGTGATCTTAACCTAACAATTCATAAAAGGTTTGGAAATAATTATGCCAAGAGTTAAAAATCCTCATTTTCTCACAGTGAATCTTTAGAGAGAACTGAGTATTTTGAAGATGTGAGGGAAGCAGCAGTAATAGACATTAAAAAAAAAGAAAATTACCTTATTTTCATTAGCAGTAAAAGATCTGTGCTCATGTGACAAACACAGCTGCCTCCTGCTGGTGAGGGCTGTGCTGGTGGTGCTGGAATCAGTTTGTTCCCAGTCCACAGAAGATGACAGTGGCGGTGAAGATGGGGTGGAATAAATGCAACAAACCAGTGCAGACTGTGGGAGTCCTCTTGAAACCCTTAGGAAAACCAGAGAAACAACAAGAGAACAAGAGAAAACCTCTCAGATCTCTCAAAATCTTGGTGTTTGCTGCAAGTTTTGACCCCATTTTCTGTCCCTTTGTCGTGGTACAATCTATGGGATCTCACTCATGTGAACCGCTCAGAAAACTAGAGAAACAACAAGAAAAAATGATAAAACCCCTCAGATCTTTCAAAATCTTGGTGTTTCCTGAAAATCTTGAGCTTGTTTCCTGTACCCTTGAGTGAGGTGCCAACTATGGCACCTCACTCATATGAAACCCTCAGAAAACTACTGTAACCGAAAGAAAACCCCTTAGATCTCTCAAAACTTTGGTGGCTCCTGCAAATCTTCAGCCTGTTTTCTGTACCCTTGTGGTCATGCCAACTATGGCACCTCACTCACACAAAACCCTCAGAAAACGAGGGAAACAACAAGGAAACCAGAGAAACTGCAAGAAAACATGATAAAACCCCTCAGATCTTTCAAAATCTTGATGTTTGCTGCATTTCTGACCCTGTTTGCTGTCCCTTTGTGGTGGTACCATCTGTGGGGTCTCACTCATGTGGAACCTTTAGAAAACCAGAGAAACCACAAGAAAACACAGTAAAACCCCTCAGATCTCTCAAAATTGTGGTGTTTCCCGCAAATCTTGACCCTGTTTCCTGTCCCTTTTACTCGCAGCTGAGCCGGTGCGGCCAATCGACCCCGCGGCGTGGATCTCTCATACCACGGCCATGACGGGAGCGTACCCCCGTTACGGTATGAGCCCCTCCATGAGCATCACCACATCTACCAGCTCCTCACTAACAAGCTCAATTCCCGAGTCGGAAAGTAAGTCACCCCCTGGCCAGCCCAGGGCAGGGGGCTGCTCGGGGCCACCAGGGCCCGGCCACGGGCACGGTGACAGCGGCAGCGCCAGCCAGGCCTTGAGTGGTTTCTCACACTTGGGGAAAGCAGGAGAACTTTTGCCGAAGGTTGGAGGTTGATGTGGAGGTGTTTGGTCAGGGTTTTGTCTCAAGGAGAAGTGGTTGCTGCTGGATTTTAGTGGTAGGTTCAGGTTTTTCCACTCAGGTGCACGTTTGGTTGGTTTTTAATAAATTTCAACAATAATGTTCAGGTTTCACTTGGGAAATCCTTCTCTGATATTCACATGGTCTTCTTTTATACTTTTGATAAGTTCAGGTTTTTCCACTCATGTAGATGGGAGACTCCCTTCTTGCATTTAGTTGGTTTTTAATAACTTTCAACAGTAACGTCAATGTTTCCCTTGGGAAATCCTTCCCTGATATTCACATGGCCTTCTTTTGTATTTTTAAATTGGTTTTTTGTTCTTCTTTATATTCCTAGAATTTATTGAGCAAGCTAAAACTAAATTTAACATCCTACGTAAAATTATTATTAGATTTCAACCTGTTTCCTGGTTTGGCAGTCTGGAACAGCCGTATCCCTGAAACCAAGAGGTTGGATTTTAAAGATAGGTTCAGGTTTATCCACTCAGGTGAATGGGAGAGCTGTCTTCTTGCATTTACTTGGGTTTTAATAAATTTCAGCAATAATGTCAGTGCTTTTTTATGGGAAATCCTTCCGTGATATTCATATGGCCTTCTTTTATGCCCAAAATGGGAGCATTTCAGATGCATCTCAGAATTTGCCATATTTGTACAGCAGCCAGAACTTTAAAAATGCCAATTTTCTGTTCATATGCAGATCTCAGGTGTCCAAGAAAATAGAATTTATTGCTCCCCAATATTAGTTTGTTGGTGTAGTTTTTTTTCCCAAGACATGTTGCTTTTTGCCACTAACCAAACTAACTTAAAGCAAAAGCAAAGTTTTAGTGTTTATTTGAGGTTTGTAAGTATTGAAGCTGCATGCAGAGCTGGTCTGGGATGTTTTCATGCATATTGGCAGTGCATGTATGGAAAGAAACATTTTTAGTTTTCATTGTTTCACGTTTGCTGTACCTTTTTTTATACAAAATTTTGGGTGGCTGGAAAAGGACAAAAGTGCTTTTGAAAGGTGGGTGATGTGGGGAACTGGGAGGGGAGGAGGGTTCTGGAATTCCTGCTGGAGAAGGGTCTGGCCTACAAACAGAGATAAAAATGAATTTTCTAGGGCTGGAAAATGGGACAAGACAGAGAATTTGACAAATTCAACCTTGTTCTTATTTTATTGTAAAAAATGATGAGGAAAGTGTGAAACCTCTGGGGATCCAGTTCTGCCTGTAATGATGTGAACTGGGAATGGCTGGGGAGGCATTTGGGAGTTTTTTTAAAGTGTTCCACAAAAAAAAAATTGAGGGCAAAGCAATCCTGGGAGGAGTGGATTGTGAGGGGACCCTGGGAAGGGTTTTTGTAAGAAAATTCCTGATTTCTTCTGAGAAGGGAAGATTTCTTTTATAATTTAATTTTCCTCATGAATTTCCAGATCTTTAAATAAAAAACTGGACATGGATTGACCATGGTCACCCTTTCTGCATGGAGATGGGGGGTGCTCCCGACAGGGAGTCCCAAAAGAGCAAACCCCAAAAACTTGTCCCCCAGAGTTCCTGGGAAATTGAAATGGAAAACGATGGATCACAAAAACCCTTGGGTTTCCTTTCCTGCCTGTCTGGATGCAGAGAGGATCCTGCAGCTGCTTTGGGAAGCCAGGATGTGGGGACTCAGAATTTCTGTCACTAAACTGATGGCTTTGAGCCCAAAATCTAAACTGGTGGCCTTGAGCCCAAAATTGCTGAAAATGCTGTAATTCACTCTGTGGATGAGGGTGCATTTGGGAATCTTTGTGTCTTTATTTTATTTTAATTACTTTACTTTACTTTATTTTACTTTTTAAAATTTTATTTTAATTTTTATTTTATTACTTTTATTTTTTATATTAATTTAATTTTCTTTTTAAAATTTCATTTTAATATTTTTTATTTTTATTTATTTTATTTTTATTTTATTGTACTGTATTTTATTCTATTTATTTTATTTCATTTTATTTTTAAAATTTTATTTTAATTTTTGTTATTACTTTTATTTATTTCACTTTATATTGTATTTATTTCATTTTCTTTTTTAAATTTTATTTTAATTGTTATTTTATTTTATATTGTATTTTAATTTTTATTATTTTTATTTATTTTATTTCCTTTCAATTTATTTTAATTTTTATTTTATTATTTTTATTTATTTTAAGTTTTCATTTAATTGTATTTTATTGTATTTATTTTATCTTCATTTTGTTTTTATTTTATTTTTATTTTAATGTTTTGTTAATTTTCTATTTTATTGTATTGTATTTATTTTATTAAATTTTATTTTTCAATTTTATTTTATTTATTTTTTTGCATCTGTTGGTAAAACTGTATTTTTATTTCATCCAAACTGGGAGCTGAGAAGTTCCTTCAGGCTGAGTTCATTTCACAGCAGACTGTGGCCTCTCTTCCTTTCAGAATTAGAAGACTCTCCCTTAACTGTGAAGAGTGACATGGCTACTATTGTCAAGGTCATGCAGCTGCCAGACTCAGGCCTTGAAATTCGGGACAGGATGTGGTTAAAAATCACCATCTCCAATGCAGTGATAGGTAAGCAGACCCCAGAAATGCTGAGAGGGAGAAAACCCAATGATTTAATTAAAAAAATACCTTTTAATGAGCTTTTTTTTCATGTCTTTGACCTCTTATATTCCATTTATGGGCAGGAAATAACTTGTGTCAATGTAGGCACAGTTTGGCTCAGATAACCCCACTGTAGATGTTCAGCTTGGCACAGTTTGGCTCAGATAATCTTATTTTAGGTTCAGCTGGCACAGTTTGGTTCATATGATTTCATTGTAGGTGTTCAGCTGGCACAGTTTGGCTCAGAGAATTCCAATTTTACGTGTTCAGCTGGCAGAATTTGGCTGAGATTATCCCACTGTAGAAGTCCAGCTGGCTCAGATAATTTCATTTTAGGTTCACCTGGCACAATGTAGCTGAGATGACCCCGTGTCTCCCCTTGCTGTCCCCATTTCAGGAGCAGATGTGGTGGACTGGCTTTACACACATGTGGAAGGCTTCAAGGATCGCCGGGAGGCACGGAAATACGCCAGCTCCATGCTGAAACACGGCTACCTCAGGCACACTGTGAACAAAATCACCTTCTCAGAGCAGTGCTACTATGTCTTCGGAGACCTCTGTGGCAGTAAGTCCCCAGCTGGGAAGGACAGAGCTGGCCCCATGTCATTTCTGTGCCTTGAGGGTGTCCATTGTCCCCTTGTGTGTCCTCACAAAGAGGGATTTCCATGAGGGTGGCAGAGCTCTGGAGCTGCTCAGTGTAGCCGTGATATTTTCTGAAAAATTCTTTTATTAGGATTTTTTCTCCTGAGAAGCTGTGAGGCCTCAGGAACAAAATGTAAACAATGGTTATCTGCTGCTGTGAAATGCAACAGCTGCATCTGTGATTGGTCACATGTGGTTGTTTCTAATTAATGGCCAATCACAATCCAGCCGTCTTTGACTGTCTGGTCAGTCACAAGATTTTATTATCATTCCTTTCTATTCCTTTCAAGCATTCTGATGAACTCCTTTCTTCTATTCTTTTAGTATAGTTTTAATATATCATTTTCTTTTAATATAATATATATCATAAATATATATAATGCAATAGGTAAATCAGTCTTCTGAAACCTGGATTGAAGGTTCTCATCTCTTCCCATGTCAGGGCTGCCTGGAAACTTCCACAGCCCAGAGGAGGCGGAGTCTCTCTGGAGATATTCCAAACCCAGCAGGACACATTCCTGTGTCACCTGCAGGACATTCCTGTGTCACATGCTCCAGAATTGGACAGGGGGATCTCCAGAGGTCCCTTCCATCCCTGCCTCTCCAGGGGTGGCCCAGAATAGGGGACATCACCCTGAAATTGTGTGACAAGTGGCTGGTGCTCCCTGGTAGCAAGGAGAGCTCCCAGAGGAGGATGAACTCATCAAGCAAAGCACTGAGGACAGCAGGATTTATTTCTGGTGGTGCCACACTGATGTCATGGGTTTTAGCTTTTTTATTTTCCAGATTCTGTGCTGATGCCTCAGATTTTAGTTTTTCTATTTTTCACATTCTGTGCTGCTTTAGTGGGTGGGTCTGGGCTTCATACTGTGGGATGGTGAGCTCTGTGCACAGAGCAGGGAGACAAAACAATTCCTGCTCCAGCTGGGCATCAAGGACAAATCTCAGCCCAGAACCACAAACACCGTGGGCTGGAGAGAGAAAAACAAGGATGGGACTGCATGGGCTAAAGCTGGAATTGGACAAATCACTCCAAGATGCAAATGGAGCGGAACTGATCAAAGTGAGAGACCCCCGTGCCCGGCCATGCATTTTGGGACCATTTTGGTTCATCTTGGGTTCATTTTGGACCATCTTGGGTGCAGCCCTGGCTGGGCTCTTGTGCTGCCCAAGGTGGATCCATTAAGGAGAAACTTTTAATAAATCCCTGCTTTATTCTTTAGCTCTGTCTAGTCCCTGTTCTAGGGCAGCTTTCACATTCCCTGCTGTCAGTCCCACTGGAACAGGGGGATGTCCCCACCATGTCCTCACCCTTCCCTCCCGTCTCCCTGCTGTGTGAGAAGGCTGATTCCAAGGCATTGCTAAGCTTCAAAAACCTCCATAAATAAATTCACAGTGATCATTTTACCCGTTGATTAAGAATTTTTCCCCTTTTTTCTTTCCCAGATCTGGCTGCACTGAACCTCAACAACGGTTCCAGTGGCGCCTCTGACCAGGACACCCTGGCTCCTCTCCCACACCCTGCTGCTCCCTGGCCCTTGGGCCAAGGATATCCCTACCAGTACCCTCTGCCCCCTCCTTGTTTCCCCCCAGCCTACCAAGATCCTGGTTTTAGCTATGGCAGTGGCAGTGCAGGCAGCCAGCAAAGTGAAGGTAAGCTGGGCAAAAAGGGTTTTATCCCACAGCTCTCATTGTTCCCCACCATCTGCTTGAGGTCCTCGGTGCTCTCCGTGCTTGTCTTGTGGTTTTTTTTGCTCCCTGCATGGATTTTGTGCAATGAATTAAAGGTGCTTGTGGCTCTGGAGGAGGGGGTTTGGCTTTCAGCTCTCTGTGGGAAATGCCAGGTTTAACCCAGGCAGGGATTGCCAGCAGTGGGGTTGGTGTTGCTGGAATTGAGGCGATTTCTGTGTTGCTGGGACAGGGGTTAGAACCAAGGTGCTCTTGGCTTGCAGGTCAGTGCTCAGCACAAAAGGAAAATCACATTTTTTGTAAATGAGAGGTGGCCAGCCATGGCTTTCCAGGGCTGAAACACTGCTCCCAGGGAGGAGAGTCTCTGCTGGCATGTGTGACAGGGACAGGAAGAGAATTCTGCATGGATTAAAGACCTGCCCTCCTCCTTTTCTGCCCTAAATTAATTTTAACCTTAGTAAATTAAATCACATCTTTTTCTTGCTGTAGAGATACTAATTTTTAATTTTTATTTTATTTTAAACCACTCCCAGAGTGAGTTTTGCTTTTGGAAATGCTGCCAGTAAAGAAGGGGCGAGGATTCCTTGTGTTTTTTCAGTGAACATCCAATAAATTGGATGTCACTTATGCCTATTCACCACAGCCAGTCAGATTTTACAAAATGGCACAAAAGGGTTTCATAACAGGGGATTTTAGACCAGCTGCATGTCACCTTATACCAAAATAAGAAATATCCATGAGGAATCTCCCAGAGGCTTTAGAACTAGAAACTGCCCTGGACAGAAAGTGGGGGTGGTTTTTTGGCAGCTGCTTCTGTGAGCAGTAGGAATTCTCTCCCTGCTGCTGGATTAGGAAAGGAAAGGTGGCACTCCCAAAAAGTGCCAGGGTGTTCAGCTCTGAAAGGTTTCCACGCTTTTCCTGGTGGAAACCAATTTCTGTGCTGTTTTCCTGCTTTGTAACTGTTATTCCCTTGTTTTGTCCTGAGCAAGCATTAGACTGAAGGATTCCTAGAGGAATGGCTGACTCTAGGGGATTGGTAAGCCTCAAATCCCTCCATGATGAATTCACAGCATGATCATTTTTAGATTCTCGTGACCCCCAATGTTTAGCTGTATTTTGGTTTGGTTTTTTTTTCCTAATTTGAAATTTTATTTTTATTTTGAATTGTCTTGGACGCTCGACCTGTCTCAGTGCACAGTGGTGTGACATTGGCATATCAACCTGTGGGACTGTGCTGCAGCAGCTCAGAGGGGAGAGAATCAGCTGGGAAAACCCCATCCCCAGGCTCTTTAGAAAATAAATAATCCAAATTTATTATGGTGTCACCTCTCTGGGCTGGATTTCTCTGCAAGTGTCCTTGCACTGCCCATTAATTGGTGGCCTTTAAATAAAAATCCTGGTGGCCAGGTGGCTCAGGCAGGGGTTGGGAATGCTGGAGCACAAGGCTGCACTGCTCACTCTTAAAATAGTGCTAAATTTTGGGGTTTGTGCCCTCTCTCATTTATCTGCACTATTAAATCATAACAATCAGCAAATACCACTGCAGAGACCCAGGCTTGGAATATTCACTTAAAATCCAATGGTTTCGTGGTCTGTTTTCCATCTCTCTGGCTCTCTGCAGAAAATGCAGCCTTTCCCCCCAAAATCCAGTGTGGTTTCCCATTTCTCCAATCAGCTGGAGCAGCAGAAAGTGATGGGCAGAAAGTGATCTGTAATTCAAGAAGGAGCAGCCCAAAATAATTATCTTTTTCCCATTTCTGTGACTTATTTAAACTCAAAAGCTGGTCCCTTGTTCTGCTGACTGGGGATCCTTTTTGGGAAGTCCGTCCTGCACTAAGGTGCAGGAATTCAATGGGATATTCCTTAGATTGATTAGCTGGATTTTTAAAATAATAATTAGCTTGGGAATGTCTCCTAATCTGTCTGTCATGGGAACAGAGCAAGACCTTCAGCTTCCATAAAAAAACAGTTTTGGAAGTTTAGTAAAGCTTGTGTTTAGTAACAACTCAGCTGATATTCAGTGGCAATCCTTTCGTTTTCCAAGGTGATTTAGTGGCCTCTCTTAGGAACAATATCCTGGTGTTACTGATTTGGGGTAGAGCAGCTCAGGAACTGTTTCCTAGGGAGTTCTCCAAGCAGGAGATTCTCCAATTCTCCAGCACAAGGCTTTAGTGAGGAATTTTAAAAGGACCTCCCCAGTGAAGCCAACAAAATTTCATGAATTTAAGGGTGCCAGAGAAGGCAAAGGGGTTTCTTTCCGAAAAGGTAATTTTAAAATTAATTTTAAAAGGACCTCCCCACTGAAGTCAAAAACCTTGGGGATTGAAGGGTGACTGAGAGGTCAAAAGGGTTTCTTTCAGAAAAGGTAATTTTAGAAGGACTTCCCCACTGAAGCCAACAAAACCTCAGGGGTTGAAGAGTAACAGAGTAGGCAAAGGGATTTCTTTCAAAAAAGAGTTTTAAAAAGAATTTTAAAAGGATGGAGTGATTTAAAGCCTGAGTGATTGAAAGGTGACAGAGTAGGCAGAGGGGTTTCTTTTGGAAAAGGTACAAAATAAAGCAGAGGCAATTAGAATTAAACCTCATTTGCTTGAGTCAAACCCCAAATTCCTGCTTTTTTCTGCTCCCTCCCTCTCCTGGACTGGATTTGAGCTGGAATTCAGCTGCTGCTTTCCCCGTGCAAGCTCGGAGCTGTGTCCGTGTGTCCCCATGCATGGCGCTACCCCGTCGCTGAGCCGCCACCAGCGCGTGGGCCTCACAGCAGAGCCCAGCTCATCCTGGCTCTTTTTCTCTCCTGTTTTTGGGCTGTTAGGGAGCAAAAGCAGCGGCTCCAACCGGAGCACCAGCGAGACCAGCAGGAGAGCAGCAGGCAGGGAGAAGGAGCGCAGCAAGTCCGGGGGCAGCGGCAGCGAGTCGGAGCCGGGCGCGCGCCGCGAGCGCCCGCTCAGCCAGCTCAGCCAGCGCTCTGCCAGCGACAGGAGCCACCAGAGCCACCACTCCTATGGTCCCCCAGGGCTGCCCCCCTTGTACAGCCTGCCCAAGCTGGGCTCCAAGGGGCTGGGCAGCAGCGGGCCCCCCGGAGCACCGCCGGTGCGTGAGCTGAGCGCCGTGCCACCCGAGCTCACCGCCAGCCGCCAGTCCTTCCAGAAGGCCATGGGCAACCCTTGCGAGTTCTTCGTGGACATCATGTGAGAGGAAGTGCCTTCAAAAGACTCTGCGTTTTAGGGGGTTTTTTTTGGGGGGGGGGGGGAGGTGGTTCTGGGATGCTCGGTTGGAAGAGGCTTGGCTGTCTTGCATGTCACACCTTCCTGTTCGCGAGTGTGTCGCAGAAAAGAAAAAAAATCGACAAAACTGAACAAAAAAAAAGAAAAAAATACAAACACCCCCTCAAGCTACAAAAATGAGCAACAAAATCTCCTGGGATTGTTAAATCGTCTGCATCTTTTTGTTCTGTTTGTTTTTTCTCCCCTGCCCATCTCATTTTGGATTGTGAATGGCCTGGTGTATGTTCACATCTTAATGAGCTTTGATCATTGTGGCACCTACTTCAGTGGAATTAGTGTCTCTTTCTGGGCTGATTGGAGGACTGCTATTTCACATAACTTCTAAATTCCTGACAATGCATAGGAGCACTTTGATTTTTATTTTTTTTCCCCTGCTTTTTCTCTTGCAAGGACAAAACAAAAAAGGACTGCTGGCTGGTATCTGGGATACTGCCTTGGAATGCTGGTTCTTGGATGCATCCATAGCTCTAAGCAGACATGGCACCCACAAGTGCTTGGAAAGGAGCAGGATCCAACCAATTTCTAGAGGAAAACAAACTTGTGGCTGCTTTCTGCTGACTAGGCAGTATAAATCAATCTTTCTTGGGTTCTTTGAGGGTTTTTTTTTTAAAGATATTCTATCAGGGGAGTGCTGGAGTCTTGCTACTGTATGCATTCATTGTGCAGAACTTATAAAGTTATTTCTTTCAGTTATTTCCTTATTTCCCAAGAGGGATTTTCCAGCTCCACTGGGTTCCTGGGCATTTTAGTCACATCCCTGCTGCCAGGTGCGGCTGTTCCCTCTGGATGTGCACCTGCTTGCAGATTGGAAGAGTTACTCCCACAGAAATAGGAACATTGCTGCAGTTCTGTCAGCTTTGCCCTTTTGAAGGGGCTGTTTATCCCATTCCAGCAGGGAAATCCTGGCTCCCACTGGGACATGGGACATCTTCTTTGTGATCCCTCCTTCCTTTCTGAGCACAAGCTTTCTCTTTTTTGTTAAAACAGAGATCTGGAGATGTCTGATCCCCCTGGCAACATTTCTAAGCACAGTGGGCAGAGAGGTGTGAGAGTATCTGAGAACAGATCAGAAATGGTACAAAAATAAATCCTTACCCTGAAACTGAGTGAGACCTACCCTGGGGCTCCCCAAAAAGAAATCCTTCACCCTTGACAGCAAGTTAGACTAACCCTGGAGCTCCTCAAAAATAAATCTGTACTCCTGACCCTGAGTTAAACTCACTCTGCAGCCCCCCACAAAGAAATCCTTTTCAAATTCTCAAAAAGAACCCCCTGACTCCTCCTCCTGCTGAGGAGCTCTGCTGTTGAATATCCCCAGGATTTATTTTCTGGCTATTTCTGCTCTGAGGCTGTAGAAATTAAATTCAGGCAGCTTCAGGGATGTTTAAAAAGCTTTTTTGAGGCATGGTGAGCACAGCCATGCTGTCGTATGGCTCATTTAATGCATCCACTCTGGCATTTGACCATGAAGCCATTCCTCAGTTAAATTCTCTTTTGTGAGATTCTGCTGCTGGCAGGATTTAGAGCAGGTGCTTTAAAATCAGTTTTTACTCTAAATAAGCATTTCCTCCACTGGTAAGAAGCTGCTTTTTGGTCTCTTCTGTGCTTTTTGGGTAAATATCCAAGGTGGATGTGAGGAGAGAACATCTTAAAACAATCTTTGTGTACACACAGTTCATTTGTGAAAATGAAAACCTGACCCTTCAAAATGTTCAAAATTTTCACCCTGAAAACTGAATCTTCAAAATGTCTTTTTAATTCTGATTTTTCACTTATTTCCTTTTCAAAATGTCCTTTTAATTCTGATTTTTCACTTATTTCCTTTTCCCACCTCCCTTTGTCAGAGATTCCAGATGTTTGTGGGAATGGGAGACTCAATTTCCCTTTCCACAGGGAGCCGGGAATTCGAGAAACTCTTACTCAGCCCATTTCTGGGCTTCTAAATTAATTTCCTTTGCAAAAACCTCCCCAAAAAAAGCTGCTCAAGGCATCTGAAAGCAGAGCTTTCATCACCACCATGGGTGGCTCCTCCAAAAGAGGCCCTGCCTAAAGTTTGACTGTACAACAGGACTTTTCTGTCCCTTCCCTCCTGCTCCCACATGCAAACCTGACTTGGTAAATTATTCTGAAAGATTGACACTTAAATCAGGGTAAAAGAGTGATGGAATTCTGCTCTGTCTCCAGGAGACACTGCTGAGCAGTCTGTGACTTTACTGACAATCACTAGTGGTTCTACTTCTAAATTAATTGTGATTTTTTTTCTGTCATTTTATAAGTTATTATTTCTCTGGCCCTGTTTTAAGGCAAAACTCAAAGGGCTGGAAGAAAAAAAAATCTCCTTTTAATATTTCCAAAAAAAGAGATTAAATCTGGGGGCTGAGCTTTTCACCCATATTTAATTGACATATTTAATTTCCAAGAGTTGCAGTTTCCACACCTGCTGGGGGTTGGCTTTTGTCTCGTGGTTTTGCTGTTGGCAGAAACTGTTCTGTGTCTTGCTGGTCTTTGCTGCTATGTTGAAAAAATGACTTTTTTTAAAATGTGTGTACTCGTGGGTCACCCTGGGACGAGGCTGGGAGTCCCCAGCAGATGTGGGAATTTTTTTTGCTGAGGAAATTCAGGCTGGAGGAGGTGGATCCTCTTGAACAGTGCAATATTGAACAGTGACACAAAAGTCTGCATCTTTTTTTTTCTCCCCCATCATGGGCTGAAAGTCAGGTCTGAATCTTTGCCAGATCTGTTTCCTCAAGGGAACAAAAATGAGATTTCCCAAATCCCATCCTTTGTGTCTTTCCTATCCTGCTGCATTCCTTGCAGGATCCTGTGCCAGCCATGCCAGGGGAGCTGCCCACAGTGGGAATTGTGCCAGGGAAAAGAAAATTTGGAGGCTGGAGTGCTGCAGAGCCAAAAGGTACAAAATACCCACCAGGGCCTGCAGGTGAATTTTGCTGAATTTTGGTGGATTTTGGCTCCAGGGAGAGCTTTGCTGTGCAGGGCATGGGAGCACCCTCAGAGCAGGAGCCCGAAAGAATTGGATTAAAGCAATTCTTCAATTATTTTTTCAAATAATGTATTTTTATTCTGCAGCTGAGCTCAGTGCTCACCCCTCCCTGCAGCAGGGATATCTGGGGACTCCTGGAAAAGGGGCAGGAAAAACTTTGGGGTGTTTTCTCGCCCCCCAAGAGGCAGCATCTGCACAGGAGGTGTCCCCACCCAGTATTTAAGCCTTGAAGAGTAAATTTTTTTGGCAAATAGTCTTAAAAGCATGCTGGTCTCTTTTACCTCCTGTTAATGAATCTGCTTTTCCAAGGAATCAGTGCCCTGGGAACTTTATCCAAAGGTTTTATTGGATGGCAGGCAATGATGCACAGATGTTGAATTTTGCTACGATTCTTGTTTTCTCTCTGATTTTTGTTCTCTCCCCTCCTGAGACTTGACAGCTCATGGGTTGATGTAATTGTTTTTGTTTGGTTTTTTTATTTTAATTTTTTGTTTTTGTTTTGCATTTAACTGGATTGTAATAAGATTGACTTAAAATTATTAATTCTAATCAGTGATTAGAAATACATGTAAAGAATTTTATGTACAGTAGAGGAACAAAGTTACATGATTTTAAATAATGAAAACCCAGACTATCACCTATCCTAGAACTGGTTCTACTCCAAGAGTGACCTCTTATTAGCATGGACTGCACTGTTCCTGTTAAATGTCTATTGCATAATTGAATTCTTTTTTGTAGATATTGTATTAAAACCCAAGTGTCTGTATAGTTAATATATAGCTGCTTATGTGTAAATGCTATTTTAAACACTAAAAAGCTTTTAATTTTATGTGACAACCACAGTGTATGTGGTCAGTTCTTTACAGCATTTCATTGTGATTTATTTCCTAAATCTTGCCAATTTTTGGACTCTCCAGCAGAATCAAGAATCACTGGGACACCCTTTGTAAATTCTGCTGAGCCTTGGGTTTGTTAGGACACCCTGGAGGCTCAGCTGCACTGGAGGTGTGAACATTTTTCCAGCCTCAATTCTTCTAATTTTCCAGCTTAAATAAAAAGAACAAGCACAGCTTGGTGAGGCAGATTCCTTCTTCCCAGCTGATACAAATCACACAGCAAGGGGAGAGTTAAACAGCATTTAAGTACCATAAATCCCAGCATTTTCCAGTGAGGAGGATATGAAATAATCATAATTTAGTTGAATATTAAATGGTCAGAATTTAAGTGCATATCAAATGATCAGAATTTAGGTGAATATTAAATTGTTGGATTTGAAGTGAATATTACATTGTCAGAATTTAAGTGAGTATTAAATGATCAGAATTTAAGTGTATATTAAATGCTCAGAATTTAAGTGCATATCAAATGATCAGAATTTAGGTGAACATTAAATGGTCAGAATTTAAGTGAATATTAAATGGTCAGAATTTAAGTGAATCTTAAATGGAATTTTGGACAGCCTTTTCCTGCAGGGCCTGGTGGAGTTAAATCAGATTTTTTTTCCTTTCCCTGTTTCTGGAATGATGATCAAAAGTTATTTCATGTTTCTCTGCTATGGAACCACAGCCCTGGAGGAGGAATACTGAGAATTTCAGGTAGTTGTGAAGAATTCCTGCACGCTCCAGGAACAAGAACTCCAGGCTCCAGGTCAGAGTTTTGGTTTTTTAAATCACACTGAGGAATAATTTTAGATGGAGGTGATCACAAATTTTAGATGGAGGTGATTGGGGACAAATAACTTTGCAGTGTACCAAAAAGTTCTTTTTCTTTTCTTTTTTTTTTTTTTTTGAATGAAAATATTCACTGGTTTAGATTAATTTACAAATTCTTTAACTGAGCTGGACTGCTTAAAATCCAGTAACACACAGTGGAGAGATAGAAAAATTTTAGGGAATAAAAGAGCAGAAATGAATTTTAGGGAATAAAAGAGCAGAAATGAAAAAACTTTTAGGGAATAAAAGAGCAGCAATGGAAAAACTTTTTAGGAATAAAAGAGCAGAATATTTCCTTGTCAACATGAGTGGGGAAAAGAAAAACCTTGGTGATGTGACTGGGTATTGACTGGATACTGCCTGGCAAAAATGTGAAGTTTTGGGTGAATTTTGCCTGGTTTTGGGGAAGGGAGGAAGCTCCTGCTGTGCCTTTGGAGGGTGAGATTTGCACAGAGCTCATTTACATTGCCTGTCCCTGATTTTCATGGAACACAAATGGACTGAGCTGGGATTTGAATGGGAAATGCCCCCTCTGTGTCCCACACAGCACTGCTGGCACCTGCCAGAATGTTGTTTTTACACCTCTTTTATTGGGTTTATTCGACAATTCTGACAAGGCTTGGGAAAGGCTGACACCAGCCAGAATGTTCTTTTTACTCCTGTTTTATTGGATATATTTGATATATCAGAATTATTGTATAATTCTTACAAGGTTTGGGAAAGGCTGGTAGCTGCCAGAATGTTCTTTTTACTTCTCTTTTATTGGGTGCATTTGATATATTAGAATTATTGTATTATTCTGACAACACATGGGGAAGGATTCCTGGATCCATCTCCGGAGCTGTTAATTAATAAGAAAGGGAAATTACCAGAAGTGTTTAGAGGGAAGTGCTGTTGGTGATTCACACTGACAGACTTGAGAGATGGGTGTAAAATACCATTTCTGGAGGTTCTTCCATTAACTGAACCTAATTTTGCTCCTTTTTGGGGCTGAAATGTGTTTCTTCACAACTCTAATTCAGATGTGATTGTTCCTGGGACTACAAAGTGCTCATAAACAGGATTTTCTCCTTAAAATCCAGGTTTTGTGAGGAGCAGGTGACACAAGGAGTGGTTTATTGTCTGTCCTCCTCTGGCTGCTCATCAGAGAGGTTCTGGAAATAATCCCTCGTGTTCAGATCAGGCCTGAACACCAAGATGTAGCACTTGGGCACAAAGTAACTGGCCAAAATGCCCAGGGTGGTGGCCAGGATGGTGCAGATCTGGGTGACAGCCCTGAGCACCGTCCTGAGCGTGGCAAAAATCACCAGGAAGAAAATCCAGATGATGAAATAGATGAAGGTGGCAAAGGTGATGCCCCTGGCCACATTGTACCTCCTGCCTGGGGTCTGCACCATAAAGGTGCACAGGAAGCAGACGAAGGCTAGGCAGCTGTTGTAGCCATGCAGGAGGGCAAAAGCAGCCCAGGACTGGGTGCCACACACGAGCAGCACCTCCCTGGGCAGGGATTCATAGTCAGCCACCAGGTAATCAGGGCCCAGGTGGAGGTGGCACCAGCAGAGCAACACCTGGGTGAGTATGGACATGGCCACCACCAGCCAGGCCCTGCCGTGGGTCACCCAGCGCAGCAGCCTGGGGGCACAGTGGGGGAATTCTGTCACCAGGGTGATCTCCAGGGCCTTGGGCAGCAGGGAGGAGAAGCAGCCATTGAGGCACAGGGCATAGCAGAGCTGCTGCAGCAGGCACAGCGCCGCGCTGGGCCTGCCCACGTGCAGGCAGCAGCTGAGGCTCTGCAGCAGCAGCCAGAGCAGGGCCAGGAGGCTCCTGGCACCTCCTGCCAGCTGCACCAGGGGGCTCTGCAGGTGCTGCAGGAACAGCAGGGCTGCCCCACAGCTCAGGGCTGCAGTGAGGGCCACCAGGGTCAGCAGGGCCACGGCCAGGGGTTCATCCCAGGACAGGAACCGCTCGGTGCGGTCGTGGCAGCGCGTGCTGCGGGTGGGAGCCCACTGGTGCTGTGGGCACGGGGAGCAGCTGGTGCTGTCTGCAAAGAGAGACTGATCAGCATTGGAGACCTGTTGAGGTGGGATTTCAATCCCCCCAGAACTCAGGCCCCTCCCCTGAAGATGCCCTCATGGGTATCACCACAGACGTGGCGTTTGGGGTGAAAAAAGAAGTGTCTCCAGCCAGTCATAAGTGTCTGTGGGGTGAAACACCACACATCCAGCCAGCCAAAAGTGTCTGGGGTGAAACCCCACAGTTGGCTGCTGTTTGGTTCAGCGCCAAGGGCGAGACAAGCTCAGGCACATCACATCCAGATATATTGGTAAATATTCCAATAGGGACCTGCCCCCCTGTGGGAGGATTACACAGGGATCTGGTGGTGGTTTGGGTGGTGTTTCCCCTCCCTCCAAGGTGTGTTGGATGTCCAGAGTTTGTGGTAGTTCAGCCTCTGCTTTTCCACCCTCATCCCTGAAGGATCCTTGTGTTTCTTGCCACTATTTCCTTCCCCCAGCAATCCCAGGATTTTATCCTCTGCCTCTCTTCTACCCATGCCCCCAGAATTCCATCCTAGCCCTCTCTCCAAGCTCTGCAGATAAAACATAGATGTTGTCCTCATTTTCCTTCCCTCTGGGCCCAACAGGGACAGGTCCCAGTGAGGAGCAGGACAGGGAGGAGAGCTCCCAGCTCATCCCCACCTCAGCCTGGAGACAGAATAATCCATTTAAAGCCTTTCAATTGCCCAGAGCTCACCTGTGCTGCTCCAGAAGGTGTTTTCTGAGCAGTCTGTGCAGTCATAGCAGCAGAGATTGAATCCTTTTATTCTTCTGAATTGCCCTGGTTGGCAGCGCCTGAAGCACTCGGATGTGGGCTCCTGGCAAAGGGCAGGAGTGAACATCAGCCAGGATGAACAAATCTCCAATGAATCGGAAGGAACTGATCAGAAGGAACTGATGGAAGGAACTGAACAGAAGGAAGGAATTTGCCATTTTTACCTTCTTGTCTGGGGTGTGGAACTGGATCTGGGACGTCCGGACATACAGGGACTGGTCATAGTCCCCCACGGGCAGGTAGGTGACTGTGCCATCCCTCCAGGCCCAGAGGATCAGTTTGTAGCCCGTGTTTGTGCCGTGGGATTGATCAAACCTGAAGCTCTGCCCATTCACCTCAAAAGGGAGGGTGTTCATGAAGTGCAGCAGCTGGGGAGGAAATGAAATCAAAATGGATTTTGGTCCAGTTCTTGTTTGGAAGTGACAGTTCTGCCAGCTGACATCAGCTGTGCCTTAGGTGGGCTAAGATTGTGCCAACCTGGCTGTGAGATGACAAAAATTGGCTGTTTGTCCCTCAGATCTGCCCTCACCTGTGGGGCAACAGCCTGGTTGGAAAGTGAGAAAACTTTGTTTTCTCACAGTGGATTTGTGAGACTTTTTAGGAAGTTATAGAAAAACAATGATAACTTGTTATATAAACAACCTACAGGTGCTGTTTTCCTACTCTGTTTTGTCTGTTCTTCTCAAGGACTGTTTGTGAGAAAGATGTTCTTCTTAATTTTCCAATCAAGTAGAATGTGTCAAATCTGTCTATGAAAGAGAGGATTTTCATATTAAACTTGAAAGGCACTAGCCTGCAAACCAGCCTTGGAGTGAATTTGTGCCATTTCTGCCTCAACGGTGACACTCACCTGCCAGGACCTGATGGATGTTTTGGGACTATTTTTGAAAACCAGCCTTTGAGTGAACCAGACTATTTTTTGGGACTATTTTCAGAAAACAACTTTCCAGTGAATGTGTCATTTCTACCTCAATGATGACACTCACCTGCCAGTACCTGATGGACATTTTGGGACTATTTTCAAAACCCAGAGTTTGGGTGAATCTGTGCCATTTCTGCCTCAATGGTGCTACTCACCTGCCAGGACCTGATGGGTATTTTGGGACTAGCCTTGGAGTGAATTTGTGACATTTCTGCCTCAATGGTGCCACTCACCTGCCAGGACCTGACAGATGTTTTGGGACACCCTTTGGAGGTGCAGCCCAGAGCCCTGTGCAGTGCGTGGGCCACGCTGTACACGGCCACGTGCACGGGCTGCACCGGTGTCACCCCCAGCATGGGCCAGATGTCCCCGAGGGTGACATTGCTGCACTGCCGGCAGTGCGTGTCCAACACCTCGGTGTCCTCCAGCCCGCTGAGCTCCCGGGAGCGCTGGCAGAACTCCTCCTGAGCCACAGAGTTGAACAGCTCAGCCACAAACTCCTGGAAGCCTGGCACTGTCCCCGTCCTCATGACAAAGCCCAGCACTGTCCCCACACTCTGGATGTTGGGGACAGAGGTGGCGATGTCCGACAGCAGCCAGGCCTCGCTGCCCAGCCAGACCTTCTTGCCCAGCCCCATGGCCAGGCTGTGCTGCAGCAGGGCCTGGGCTGGCACGCTGTGTGCAAACAGCACAATCACGTTGACTTTGGTGCTGTTAATTAATTTAATTGTGTTCTCCAGCTGCTTGGTGGCATCAGGCTCGGCCAGCTCGGTGGGGATGAGCCCCTCGAAGGCGATGCAGATGCTGTTGGTGCCAGCCATGCTGAGGAAGAGCGCCTGGGCTCCCCGGCCATACTCATCATCGCTGGCCACCGTGGCCACCCAGTTCCAGCCAAAGTGGTTGAGGAGCAGCACCACGGCCTCCACCAGGTTCTTGTCGCTGGGCACCGTGCGGTAGAAGGATGGGTAGAGCTCTGTGTTGCTCAGGGTCTCGCTGCTGGCGCCGTAGCTCACCTGGGGTGAAAAGATCCTCACAAAGAATTCCAAAAGTTTATTAAAACCTTATCAAAAATACAACATTGAATGGAAAAATTCTTAAAAAGCTTGGGAAGGGATTCTTGGATGCATCGCGGAGCTGTTGAGTAAGAAATTTACTTGAGAAATTACTATAAGAAATATAAATTATTATTTAAGAAATTTCCATAAGAAATTTATATTAATACTTGAGAAATTACTGGAAGAAATTTATATTAAAACACAAATTTCTATAAGAAATTTATTTTAATAGTTAAGAAATTACTATAAAAATTTATATTAAAACTTATTAAATTACTAGAAGAACTTTGATAAGAAAAGGAAATTATGAGGAGTGTTTAGAGGGTTAGACATTCACACAAAACGTCACTTCTGGAGTTTGTTTCATTACCTACAAGGGAGAATCCTGCTCCTGCAGAGACATTTTACCTGTGGGATGAGGAAGGAGCTGAAGAGCTTGGCTGTGAGCAGGCACAGGTCGGATTTGTGGGGCCCGATGACGGCGATGACGCGGGGCTGGTACTCGCTGTAGTCACACAGGACCCCGATGGCCCTGGTGCCATTGCGGGTGAGGAAGAGGAGGCTGGGCTGAAGGGCCACCAGGGGCTCAAAGCAGGTGTCACACATGTCATAGCCCAGGGTGACCCCTGGCAGCAGCCAGCTGCTGTTGTTGATCTGCTCGATGGCAAACCTCATGGCCAGAGCCCAGATCAGCCCATCCGTGAATAACCTGGGGACAGCAGGGACAGGACCTGTGCTGCAGCTGGGACTGGGCTTCTTCATGTAGGAAAAGCTAATTTTTTATTAGATATGTTATTAGCATAACTGATTTTTAATATATTTTAATATAATTATTTTATTAGCATAACTGATTTTTATAGATATTTTAAAATAATTATTTTATTAGCATAACGAATTTTATAGATATTTTTATAGAATAATTTTATTAGAATAACTTATTTTTATCCATTTTTCCTGTTTATATTTTTATATACTTTCATTAACATACTTTATTTTTATACCTATATTTCTACATTTATTTATATATTTAGGTGTTTGATTATTTAACAATTTAACAGTTTGATTCAATGTAACTGATTCATTTACAATGTAACTGTTTCATTCAGTTAAACTGATTTATTTACAACTTAGGTGTTTGCTTCAAACCCGAAGGAAACCAGTGCCGCTAAAACCTTTTATCAAGGTGAGACCAAAGCTTGTCAGCACCAAAAAACCACAAACCCATTTCCATTTTGGGACCTGTTGATGTCCCAGTGCTCCAATTCTCCTCCATCCCATCCCATATTTTCCCTTTTCCCCCCAGTCCCAGCCCTTACCTGTCACAGAGCAGCAGGGTGGGCTCAGAGCGAGCTGCCAGGTTCAGGGTGTCCTTCCCAAAGGGGAACAAACCCCCCAGGACAAAATCCCCCGGCCTCCTGAGCTGGGCTGAGAGACACCAGGGGCTCAGGGGGGCAGCCCAAGCACAGCCCAGGCACAGCCACAGCCCAGCCACCACGTGCATTTTGGGGAAATCTAGGAAATCCAGGCTCAAATGGTCCTGGGAAGTCTCTTTAAATAGAGCTTGGGAGGAATTTGTTTGGCAAAATGAATTGAATTCACTTTAGTGGGCAATAATCAAATATACTCCAAGTAAAAACCACTGCCCTCATCCTGATTTCCTTTACTCAGTGAGTAAATGTCCTTTACTCAGTGGGCAATAATCAAATCCCCTCTGGAGGGCACTTGAGTGTAAATCCTGATTTCCTTTACTGAGTAGCTTTTACTCAGAGTGATTTACAAGTTCATTAGCACAGCTGTGGAAATTTGGGTTCCTTTGCAGAGGTGACAAAACTCAGGTGCCCCGCTCTGATTCTGGTAAATGATTTACACAACAGTAGTTTTTATTTATTTATTTATTACATTCCATTAAAAAAAATTAAATTATATTTTAATTATTTCAATTTTAAATACATCTCATCATGGAAATAACCAAATCTTCCTGAGGGCAGGGCAGGAATTTGCCTGGAGAGGCCATTCCTGGGTCACAGCCTTGCTGTCCCTCAGCTGTACTAATATTTTTTTTAGGAAGTTGTTACTGGCTGATCTATTTTTCTTTCCCTCACACTGAACTAGAATATTAATTTCAGTTTAAAAACTTAAATCTGAGCTCATAGCATGGTAATTTAGGTTTTACTACTGTATTTTATTGTTGGATTTTAGGACAGCTCTGAATGAAAAGTTCAATTTCCTGCATTTTCTATATCAGAAAACTGCTTTTGCTGCCAGTGCTGCTCCAAGGCTGGAATATTTTCCTTGCAGGAAGAAAAGCAGATTTAGAGACCTAAATACAGGAATGCACCAGCTGCAGCTGTTTTTTCCAGGTAGTTCATACTGACATTTTTTTAGGCATCGTTTCCCCTTCCTGGACTATTTAAGTGTCAGTTTAACTATAAAAAATAAGTTCTAAACACAATTCTGAATTTTGGGCAAGTTCATCTTCAATATTAGCAATGGTAGTTATAAATATTAATATTTATCTCTTTAATAATTACGAGTGTGACAAGGGAGAAAAAAATTTTTCTTGTGGTCACACCATCATTTCTAGAGATTTAAACCCATTTTTTTTTCCCTTGACACACATTATTTGATTTAGTTGAAGGAATTTAATTCACTGCACTGGTGAAATATCAGTTGGCCTGATCTCCAGGGAAATGAAACAGATTTTTCCAGGGAAATAAAATCTGAGTAGGTTTTCTGTAAATGCTGTTGGACCTCCAGAGTGTGATCCCACAAAGGACACTCCTCAAAAACCATATTATTCACATCATTTAATGTGCAGTGAGTCCAGTCTCCATGAGGTAATTGTGATTTCCTGAATTTTTCAGTGGTACATTAGGGCAGAAAGAGGCAATCAGCTGGAGGATTGATCCCTGCAACAACCCTGCAGGGCTTCTCCAGCTCCCAACGCTCAGAAAGTCCCACCTGAGACCCTCTGGCTCCTCCAGGGGTTTGGCAGAGGCTCCCAAAGCAGTGATTTACAGTACAAGTGTGGATTTTCCGCCCCAGAGAGGCAGAAAAATACTTTTTGTAGGCATTGAACACATTGATAAAAATTAAAAATAAACACACAAGAACACAACTCAGAAGCAAACAGCTCCAGCTCTGGGCTGGACAGAGGGGATTGTGCAGCAGAAATTACAATTTGCTGCACATCCCAAGTGCAAAATCATGGATTGAACAGGGAAGGGGCACAGGGGAAGGTGCTGCTGGGTGGAACAATTTTCTCCTCCTTCCACCCCCATTTCCTTCAGCTCCCACAGTGGCAGGGAAAGGGCATTTCCCCAGGGCATTGCTCAGCATGAAATCCTCCAGGTGGGATTTTTGTACAAACCAAAGTGTGGGAATGAGCTCAGACACCACAGCTCCAATTTGTGCTGCCACACAAGGCCACAAATATTGCTGTAAATGCACACAAGCCGCTGCGCTTGGGCTTGAAAAGAAAAACCGTTTCCAGCTTTGCCAGGAATAAAAAAATTCAAAACTTCAATCCCTTAGCAGCTCATCCTAATGTGGAATTATTTTTCTAACTCTGCACAGCTTCTCCTAATGTGGATTTTTTTTCTAGTTGTAGAGATGTAAAAAAAAGTGTAAAAAAAACCTATTCCATGTTTATGAAGAGGAATAACTTGGCCAACTCCTCAGCTCCAGGCTGGAAAGAAAACGTGGAAATAACCAAATAATAAATGTGCAAAAATGTTATTTTCACTCTGGGCTCATCCTGGCAGGATGGGTCGAGCAGCTTGTGCTGCAGAAAGAGCTCCTGGCTCATGCTGTAAGGTGTGGGAATAAAAAAAAAATCCCTTAGCAGCTCAACCTAATATGGAATTTTTTTCTAACCATACAGATGTAAGAAAAGGACTGGTCCACATTTATAATATGGACTTGTTTTGCCAATCCCTCAGCTCTAGGCTGGAAAGAAAAGTGGAAATAACCACAGACAGTGTGTTGTTTGTGCATAAATGTCATTCTCAGCCATCAGGACAGATTGAGCAGCTTGTGCTGAGCAAAGAGCTCCTGGGTGATGCTGTAAGGCAGGAAAATAAAAAAATCAATCCCTTAGCAGCTCAACCTAATGTGGAATTTTTTTCTAACTTTAGAGATGTAAGAATAGAACTGACAGATGTAAAAAATAACCGGTCCACGTTTATAATACGGAATCATTTTGCCAACTCCTCAGCTCCAGGCTGGAAAGAAAAAGTGGAAATAACCACGGACAAAATGTCTTGCTTGTGCAAAAATGTCATTTTCACCCCAGCACCACCATCAGGGTAGGTACACAAATAGTTCCTGGGTGATGCTGTATGCTAGGAATAGAAAAGAATCAATCCCCTAGCAGCTCAACCTAATGTGGAATTTTTTCCTAACTTTAGAGATGTAAGGTAAGAAGTGAGAAACGTGAAAAAATTAATCGTCCACGTTTATACCGTGGGATAGTTTGGCCAACTTTCCACCTCCGGGCCGGAAAGAAAAAGTGGAAATAACCACGGACAGTGTGTTGCTTGTGCAAAAATGTCATTTTCAGCCATCAAGGCAAGTCGAGCAGCTTGTGCTGAGTGAAGAGCTCCTGGGTGATGCTGTAGACATCTCCGATGTAGGGGATGGCCTCTCCCAGCATGGCCACGGCCTCCTCTTGCGAGCCCACGTTCATGATCTCCAGGAAGGCATCCCGGGAGGGCAGCGCGCAGAAAGCCACGGTGGCCGCCTTGCGGAC